TCACGACTGCACAAAGTGCTGAAAGATGACTTTTGCGTTTATTAGTTTCGTACATTTTCGAGAAATGTTTTACTATAAAAAAAAAAAAAAAATTCCCTCCCACCCCTCACCATATTAGCCTTGTTGATACATATTATCCCCAGTATAATTAGTACTTTTCCACCTGTTCTTCAAAAACAAGGTGAATGTTATTAAGCCGTACCAGCATGCCGAATTTCCGTTACGAGGATTATAGGCTCAAGGGAATGAGGGAAGATCTTTCAAGGACACAATTTAATCATAAATATTTATGGCAGTATAGCGAGCCAAGCTGGCTTGCATATTTTTTTCCCTGGACGAGACCACTTAACGATAATCCAAATAATGTATAATGTAACATACTGTAAACAATGTTCCTCTTAAACTTATGCTATGAAAACATTCATAGCAAAATAGATATTTTAATAACTACACCGGATAAACAAGTCAATGTATCATTGCTTGGTTCAGAAACAAATCCCAAGCGACTCATGTCGATGCTCTTGCTGTGATGAAGCTACTCGCTTTAGTATATGTTGGATTTTCTGTGTACATTAAAAATTAAGAAAAGCCACATGCAACAATTTGTGCATAGCTCATTAGCTTGTTATCTTGTAATGAATCAACGAAGAAGTAAAACAGACAGAACTGACTTAAGCACACATACACAAATACAATTATGGCAAATCTTTGTGCTCAACCAGCTTTGACAGTGTGCATTACTGTTTTGCCACGAAAACGGAAATTCACTCCTGATTATGAAAACTAGCATTTAGTATAAAACAAAAAGAATTCTGAACCCACCATTAAAAATGGAAATATTGAGACCCAAATGGAGGGTAAATTCTAAAAATAAAGATGCATTGCAAGGACTTAATTGAACAATTTTATGGCATCGCCCTTGCACTAGGAGTTTTATGCGCGCTTGCCACCGTGCATTTAAATGTCAATGTATGCAAAAAGCGCTGGTGAACGTGTGCTTCAGTTCATGAAATATTAATATTCGTGAGTATTAAAAAACAAAAATATTCTTATCGAAAGTGGAAAGCAACGTTCAGGGCCATTCAACAATTGAAGGCAGGAGTATAATTCGTTGAAGAGCCCAGGGGCATATGAAATGGAACGATTAATTGAAGGAACAAGGATGAACACCACATCCAGCTACATACGGAAATAGTCAAAGTAATTTGAAAATTCTAGTGTATCGCCCTTGTACTTTGAGATAAGCAATAAGTGCATATGCAATCAAGCATAAATTTCATCTACTTTTTGTGATGAACCAACTCCTACATTTCATTGGAGTACATTTCAGAGTTTTCCTGCTTGATTAGATGTTCCTGTTTTTCTAAGGGTATTGAAGTGCGGGAATCATTCCGTAACAAAACGAGTACTGCCACAATTAAGGTTGGACAGGGGTGTAAAGGGGGGTGGGGGGGGGGGGCTAGTTCCTACAGACCAGGCCGCATTTTCTCTTTTCCCAAACGATATAATCGAATGGGGTGTACGCTGTGAGGTTTTGGACTTTACTTTCCTAAAAATATGAGACAAAAGTTTATAAAGAAAAATAACCAATGAATTCGAACGTAATGAAATTTGGACTTTTATTTCCCTTTCAAAAAAATCTTGCAAAGCTGCAAATTAGAAAAGAAAAAAAGCGGGAATATGTGGCTTCGAACTCATACCCTCCGATCTTAAAACTATGTCATTATCCAGCTGAGCCATGAACGAGCTCGACAGCAAACTGTAATCCATGGCATAATAGTCCTGCGTACGCATAATAAAGGTATCATAGAGGGCGATCAACAACCATCCATACGATGTTCCTTGGGGAAAAAATAATTCGCCACCTGGCCAGAGCCGTAGACTGGCTGTTCAAGTACGCCCTCGGGGGCTTATTTAACAATGCGGCCTTTTCCTCAGGTTTGTGCCGTGTAGGCATAACTGTGTTTTCTTTCCAACATCACACCCCATTTTATTTTCCAAAATAGTGTCGATACAATTGCTATAACTCCTTCTGCTAAACATAGTGGCCTGGTGAACCCAGGATATTGTGTTGAAGGGCCGCACGTTCCCGTTCATCCCATCGTCCTCTTCAATGGAACTGGTGACCTCTTCGCTTGATCTCTCATTGGAGGGATTTGTTTACCCATGATTTAGGGTCAATCTATTATTGGACAAATTCTGTTTGCATGCTGACATGTGACAACTCTTCCGCTGCGCAAAACACCTGCGCCAAGGACGGATCCAGGTCCCCCCCCCCCAAAAAAAATAAAAACACCACAGAGCATCTGGAATCCAACAATTTCCGCGGCCCATAATTGGGCTCCGAACCCCACGTTGCAAGTTTTGGGACCCACTTTTGGGGGGAAAAAAATCTTTGCCCACCCCCCAAAAAAACCCACACAAATAATCGTGTTCTGGATCCGCCCTTGACCTGCGCATGGAATATAATGCACTTTGTTAGTAGCTCGTGACTATGAATGCCTTCGTTTTTTCATAAGTTCTTCTCTCTTTTTAAAAAAAATAGCGGTCACCAGCACTCCTGGACCTAATGCAATGGGGACGAGCGAACCTGCTGATGTTGACTCTCCCTGACCATTGGAGACGCTGTGTAAAAGTATTATGTTTGTTATTCACAATTATGTTTGTCGTTGGGGGGCGTACATCTGCTTCTACGGCTTTGATGTGTCAATCCTTGAATTCAAAATCAATCCTTGAATTGCACCACCAAAAAAAGGAAACTGGTATCACAAGCAGGAGTGCGGACGAAGGGCGCCGCCATCATTTGTATTGAGGGCGGCAAAGCATTCACCTTTACAGTTGCAAGAAATCACCGGCCGTGCATAAGCTGGTGGAGACATAATTGTCCACTTGGGGGCGCTGTTAAAAACCTTAACATTGCTTCTTCTTTTTGCAAGTGTACAACTGAGCCACGCTTTCGGGCCCATACTTCGGTCGTCTTTTTTATTGTTCTTTTTCGTGGAGGTGGCAAGTTCCCCCTTAAAGCCCCTACCGCCCCCTCCCCCCCCCCCCCCCACTCCACTTCGTCCGCCCTCGTCCCCGCGACGCCCGTAAGTGGGGAACTAATGTTAACATTAATTGCTTTGTATATAAATTTTACGAGGGTTTAATACTCGAAACGTTCCCCCAGTCAAGACAACTAGGTTTGTTTTTGTTTAACTGGGATAACAGTCTACTGCAGTTTCTTCGAAAAACGGAGATTTTTTTTGCTTTATATTTGGATGTGAACGGAAAGTTCACTTACGATTGTTGAGGGGCTAAGCAATGTTGTGACTTTATGTAAACAGTTAAAATAACATTTTTTTTAAAATTAATCACATTATGCATTGACTTTGAAATGAACTGCACGAGACTTCTATGACAAAACTTAATTTCGTGCAGTAAAATAAAAGAAGTCCGATGGACATCTCAGACTTGGGCAAGGGCAATGAGTATTGAATGAGACCAAATTATGACATGTCTTAGCCTTTTAAGATATGACATCAAAAACAAATTGAAATTATAGTTGGGTTTTTTTGGGGGGAGGGGCAGTTGAAAAGTTGAGAGATTACCAGAATGATCGCATTCAATGAACATAAAATCGACCAAATTTGGAAGAGATTAAATAAATGTTAAAAGTGTTAGTTATAAGGACATCGCTCTTAGTTCCAACATTACATTTTCAAATTCACAACAATTTTAAGATATAAACGAGAGTGCAAAGCGAAATGGTTTGGGTCTTCAAAAATACAATAATCTTCAAATAGTTGTTGGCCGAAAGGTATCTCTCAAATTAAACTGAAGCAGAGCGTGGACATAGAAATATGAATAAAGTTTTAAGTTCATTTTATTTTCAAATGGCTTACAAATTCAAACATGTCACACAAATTTGAGTGTGCAGTAAAAATAAGATATTTATTATAATTTTTACAGCATAATAATAAGAGTAAATGGCAAGTATGTTCTAGTGTACGTAAGCATATAGACATTCCTGTAAATGTACCGTTAAGGAGACTTTTTTCGACCTCAGGGAGAAAAGGTAGATCAAGGAGACAATGTCTCCCTAATGTCACAACTCCTATTAAGAGGCAAAATGTCTAGTGTCGCAAATAGGCTAGATCAATTGCTCGTGGTCCAAAACATAAATATTATACCAACATTTGTGAGGGGTAGAATACAAATGGGTGTTAGGGGTCATGACATTTTGAAACTTTTTTGTGCACAACCCTAAGGTACCATTCTTGATGATAATATCTGTACCTTTTATTCCTATATTAAACAAGGTTTGAAAATTGGTCAAAATTTCACAAATTATTGTTTCAAACATTGTGTGCCGTCGCGTATTTTACCATAAACAAATATTATGTCCCCCTTTGCTAATAAGAGATTCAAAATGCATCAATGCACAATCGAAATATAAGAGGGTCAGAAATTAAATTGCATTTGCACTATCCTCCATTTAAATCAATAAACTCCTTATTAAATTGTAGAAGTGGACTGAAGAAAAAAAATTCAAATGAACACTATATTTTTCAATTTAATATTGATTTTCTTGTTCTCTTCTGTCTCCTTTTTAAATTAGGTATAAAGCCACTGCGATATAATCAAATGTACAGGAATACACATGCAAACAACATAAACGGTACGCGAAAGTTTATAAATACTTGTACATTGCAATGTATAAACAAAAAAATCACTATCATTATCAAGACTGGTGCCGTACATTGTCCAGTCAGTAAATACTACATTGTCAAGAGAAGTCATGCATGATACCACTTTATACTGCTTTACAGCAAGCACAGATTAATAAGGCCGAGGCCAGTCATGTGACTGGAAGTATTCGACCAGCGCTAAATTAAAAGTTGTCATTTGAATAGTCCAAAGCATGCAAGCACAAACAAAATAATAATTGTCCCTTTTAAAAGAAGAAAAGTCTGCTTCAAAATATTTAGTTTCCTATCCTTTCTGGTAGTAATTCATATTCACTTGTTGGACGTTGCTGTGTTTCCTGCAGTGAAAAAAAGCGGGAAAAAAAAGAACAAATGGTTTAGATTTTCAATCAGTCAAATTGTAATTCAAATAAAATATATCTAGATAGGAACCGTGATCTACAAACATAATGACGTCTAAGCACATAAGTCAACCAATATGAATGAAATTTAAAGGTGGGACACTGTAAAGAAACCCATTAAAGTATTAATAATGCAGCTACCATACTGTTAGACGGTAATTAGTTGTACCATTTGACCTATTGTTCAATATTGAACCGAGGTACAGGTGTACCATAAACACCTTTTGTTAAGTTGGATTGAGTTTTACTTCTTGCATCTCTGAGGCACGAATTCATTTTTCTAATATTGGGGTGAAGTGACAATTTCTGTGGTGTTTAGTATCCTTTGTGAGATGGTTTAATGTTCCAAACATTGCCCTGTCTGTGTGCTTACCGTCACTGCAGATCACTCCAGCATCGTGGGAGTGGCTACAACTTGTCTCCTCCCAACAATAGGAGGGACAGTCGGTTATCTTCTGCTCAGAACCTTCGCACGCCACGCCGTCCATATGGACGGGTCCGCTACCCTGCCCGAAGTGGGCAGCCGACTTCGCCTCCAGTGCGCCTGAGAAACCGAGCTGTCGGCAGATGATCCCCGCATCCGTCTCGTTCCAATTGGTGTCGCAGATGGTTCCCCAGCTGCCGCCACGGTATACTTCCACTCGACCACTTGTGCGAGATCCGCCGACCAACCGAAGCTCATCTGATCATAATAATAAAGACATTCTCTCGATTAATGGGACGAGTTAAATTCTGACCCAGAAACTGAGGAGGGGTGTCATAAAGAATGGGAGGATACGTGCTCCACCTTCGTGGTCCTACTATTCTTACAGCAGGTTCTGGATCTCCATGGGTGGACAACTCGGATGACATGCTTGTGGAGGACAGCTGAATGCGGTGGGGAGTATAGGCCTACGGCATAAGTAGGGCAGGATAATGGAACTCGTTGACTTTGGAGTATAAGATCTTCTGGTCGGAAATGGTTCTGGTCTCTTGTATCTTGATGTGGCTAGTCCGAAACGTTGAGTTTCCCCCGGTTCTTTTCAGAATCCCACAGGAGTCAGGTTTGACCGGGAATCTGAGTTCTAATTGGCCCAATACTTTTTGGAGTCAAAATGACACTTAAGTGGTCCAAAATAATGACACTTCTCTAGATCGTTGTCTGAATAATTCTGAACCCCTCTCCCCCCCCCCCCCCCCCCCCCCCCGCTTAAGGGTTATTTTTGACCTCAAAATGTATCAAGCTAAATAGTACCCGGGGATTCCGTATAAAATCTGAGTGGGACCTAGCGTTTAGCAATAATTTCAATGATGTTAATTAAATCCTTTTCTACTTTATAACCCAATTTTTACTTTTCGAGAGGTGCTACGATTGGGTAAAAGAGCCTTATTTTGAAAAATGTATGGTTGGAGTAAGCACCTCCTAAAAGCCTAAATTATCAGAGACAGGCGCAATATCTTAAACGAGCTGGAAATAACAATAAGCTTGAGTAACAATAAGCTTAACAATAAGACTACACAAAAAGCCGGCTGTGATTGGCACGGACACTATGAGGCAGGTGGTATGGAGTCTTACCAGGTCTTGGTTTACAAACGACTCCTGCTACAGTTGAGCTGCTGCATTGCTGAGAGCCGGTACAGACAAACGGACAGTCAGCCAGCCGTCGTTCAGTTCCAGTACAGGCGACTCGATTCATCACGATCGGCCGGTCACTCTCTCGGCTGGACAACCCCGTTTTAGCCTCCAGAGCCTCGATGAAGCCGAGCTGATGACACACGGTGGTGGCGTCCTTCATATCCCAACTGCTATCGCAGACTGCACCCCAAGCATCATGGCGGTAGATTTCCACTTGACCGCTCCATTTGTCATCACCGCCCACTAATCGGATCATGCCGCTAGTAACTGTTGGAAGTGGGAAGTTAGGTTCAGAATAAAAGTACAATTTATGCACTTCTTTCTTGGTCAAATCTATGTGAGTGTTACGATCAGCCTCTATATGTTAAATGTGCCAGTCTGAGTGCAGAAATCTTTCTAAAAACAAAATCCATAAATCGCAAAAATATGTACCTGATGCCTATATAAGTACAAATTGTTTCCCTACGCAACGTTTCGTGAGGTGTAGCTATCGATCGGACTGGAACTAAATTCCCTGTGAAATTATTTCACCTGAAATTTTATCATTCGGAAGAAAACAATCATTGAAGGTGGTTTTAGAATGTGTGCGCGGTCACTGTTTTACCTACGTTAGCAAAGGAATCCGGTTACAAGATCCCAAAAATTATGCATACGTTTTCTCTGTTTTCTCTTAATGTATAGTATCCACTGAGCTGAAACTTCAACAGGTTCGTTGTTATGCTGGTCCCCCTCCCCCCGCTTTCAGCCGCTGAATATTGTTATGGTATTAATGTTATGATGCTAGTAAAATAGGACCAAAAGTAATAAATGAACCGCTAAAGTTCATGGATTATTCTTGAAATGTCTTAGGATGCAGAAGGAAGCATTGTAGATTTCAAGATTTCCTTCACTCCGACCCCCTTCTTAGATAATTATCAACAACCCACTTCCCCTATTTCCAGAAAGCTATCCTTCCCTCAAATTGCTGTCTGTTATCGTGGGCGGGCCGTCACCGCGCTATGGGGAAGTTTTTTGTTGTTAGGCAAATTATGACGGAGGTATGGGGATTTTTCTGCTGTCCCCACAGCATTTTCGGTCCCCATGGTACAACAACATTGAAATAAGTATGTATGTGGTTAAAATGTACCTGTAATGCTACATCGAATGTGCGTGAACGGGACCTACTAAACGTGTCAACTGGCGTCAACAAGCGTCAACCCAGCGTCAACATATTTTGTATAAGTTCTTGAATATCAGAAGTAGCTTTACATGGTAGAAATAGCAAAAAAAGAACATCTACAGCATATAAATTAAATTCGAAATTACGTAAACAGTTGGGGTTCTTTCAACGCGAAACCTACGACGAGTTGTAGCTTTAGTATTGGCCACCATCTTGTTTTGATCTCGGCTTCACGTGAAACATAATGGCGGTCAACACTTAGCCGACAAACTCGTCGTAGATTTCGCGTTGAAAGTACAACTGTTTGACTATTTTTTTGATGAATATGTTCTTTTTCGCTATTTCTACCATATAAAGCTACTTCTGATGTTCACAAACCTATGCAAAATTTGTTGACGCTGGGTTGATGACTGCTGACACTTGTTGACGCCAGTTGACGCTTGTTGACACATTTTAGTAGGACCGGCGTGGGGTAACTGTTGTCGAGGAAATGAGCCTGACCCTGGAAAGAGGTGACCTCACACGTTCTCAGCGAATACCTCCAGAACAAACCAATCAATAGACCTAATATACAATGGTGTCACGCTCTGTCTACATGTGCGGTTTTCTATCAGAGCTAGGTGGGACAAAATCCACCAAGCTTTCGTTAGCCTATTGAAGATATTGCAGACACAATACAAGGGCGCTGTTTGATTTGGGTAAATTCTTTTGTATTTACCCAGACCAAATAGCGCCCTCCTGTTGTGTCTGCCACATCTCATGTAAGCTAATAGGAAAGCGCGCGTGTAAACAAGGCATGACGTCATTATGTCTTAGGTCTATAGCATTCATGCAAAATAACAAGTGGTATCATTGTCTTTCTACATGTGACGTCCACTTAAATGTTTTTAAATAGGCCAATATTTATTACCTCGACATCCGAGCACTTCGAACCTTAAATAATAATGAACAGAGCTACTCCATGTGAGTGGAAGTATGCGGAGGAATCTTGCCATCAGTACCACGGGGAATGTCACATTCACAGTTTGATGGGAAGCATCGTTCCCATTCAACTGAAAAATATAAACAAAATTCACAGACAAGTTCCAAATCCAACAGTGTTGGTTTAACGATGTCGGTACGTGCAGCGGTGTACGTGCTATTTGAAAAGCTGAGCTGAGTTAAGGCAGGAGATGTCAAAACAAACGAACAAACATCAAAAGCCTTCAGACTTGCTGGGACGCCCTCTATCTGTTCAATGGAGTACCGAAGTGAATACGTCACGCGCACAAAATGTGTGTGAAAGACATTAGCGCGCGTGATCAGTCGGCCCGTGAACCAACACGCGCGCGTACTCCATTCGTTTGCACTACACTTTCTGGTTCTAAATGACGTCACACTTCGGTACTCCAATACTCAGATTTCTGATACGAATTAAAGCTACAATCCATCATTTGCAGCTATCCAAAAAGTAACTGACGAAATTATTGTTGAAGCACATACTTGGTTGAAAGACAGTAAGCTATAAGGGGACTAAACTCCATTTGAAAATTATTCTTTCTTGCATGCTGTCATTGTGAAGAAATCAACGAAAGAAGGCCTTTCCAACGGTGCGTCATAAGAAGCACCGTTGAAAATTTCTGTTAGTAGTTCTTTTTTTTTATTCGGCGAAGCGCGCACAAGCGTTGACACAAAGCACACGTGCGCACGCCCTCTATAATTCGTCGGATCGGTGCGCGCATCGAGTAGCTGCAATCAGCTAAGTGAGAACGTGTCTCGGACGCTGAATTCAGGCCCATTTCAAAACATGATTCAGTAATTTGTGATTCGAAATTGAGAATCTAGAATGTTGTTTTTCTCGAAATATACAGCTGAAGCTGAGCTGAAACTACGAGGTTAGTTGTTTAGCACCCTTCTTTAGATTATGAGCACGTTTGTTGGGTCAAAAAAAACAAAATGCACAAATTACAAATGATGGACCATACCATTAAATATATTGAGACATTAGCATGAGCAAAAGAACATATCCAGGACACTCATAGTGTGGGGCATGAATAACCATTGCTTTGGGAACAAGAATTTTATCTGATGACAATAATTATGTAAAACGTAATTATTCAGCCACAAAATGAGTGATGCAAAAGTAAGAGGACAGTAAAGATTTCCATTGGTTTGCGTTTTATTTCGATCCATTTCCAGTTCATCGCTCTGACATGAACTTACAAATTATGGACCATTTAGGGATTTGGCCTTGATGAAATTACGACCACACGCTAAACAAAGTGTAACTCAGAAGTCTATTTGAATTTTAACCATTTGTTAGGCTGTACATTAATCCACATTTTGTATAATCGGGCAATTCCAAACCTTTTATTGGAGGGGGCAAGAAGACAATAGCGCACCAGCGGTCCGGGGAGCTCTTTTTCCTCATTTTTATTTGTAATTCACGGATAGGAAAAGGGAATGAGTACACGAATTAAAACAGTCGTCTCCGTTCCCTGTAGGCTAAGTTGGTTTATAGCTGCTCTAGTCTGAGTATCAGACATTCGCGTGTGCAGCCGTGCAGACGACCTCTCCCCATGCTCTCGAACAAGTAATTCTGGGCAACTGAAACCCAGTATGACAAACTAAACAAATCTACCCTGCGAGTTCCTGATCCCTGCATAATCGCTCCTGATAGGGTGGCGGGAATCAGTCTACCCTGCGAGAACTGGATTACTGTCGGCCGAAAAAAATTCAAACTTTGTGAATTAATTATTACAAAACCAAAAGTGGGTATTTTGTTCGTTCGATGTCACATTCAAAAGTGGAAAATTTGTGTAATGTTAGGGATAAAACTATTTAAAAATCATATCTTTTTCGGTGTATAAATATGGACCTTTTTGGAGAATGGACCCGTGCTCCCAACCCCCTCCCCTCCCCGTTCCGCCAGTGCTGTTCGCCCGTGCTGAATTTGAAAGTTTGAGGATGCTATCAAGATTCTCAAGGGATAATAGGCTCACCTGTACGGTCTGTCCGCTGTCTGTTAGTTTCTGCCAATCGTTGGACTCGCCCGTATTACTGTAGTTTACAGCAAAGGTTCGGATATGATACGAACTGGCTCCCTGCACGATGACCCCCGTGATGGCCGTGTACTGACCGAGGTCTACCTGGATCCATTGACCCTCGAGCTTTCCGTTGGGGTGTATCCACCAACCAGAACCTGTGAGAAATAAAACAAATGATCATTGACATGGAATCAGTGGCGGCAGTTCGCGCCAGAGAGTGGGTTGGTGATGTCGATTTTATATAATTTCAACCAGCGAGAAGGGTATGGCGACACTACAACAATATTGTAATTGTAGAGCAATTAAATCGTAACACAGTACAGACATATTAAGACAAAAATCACAAGTTCAAAGTTGTATCGAAGAAATATGAGTATAATCCTAGCCAGGACAGTGGTGTAGCTAGCGGAGGGGGGGGGGGGGGTCCCTATATTTTGTTAAGACTGCCCATTTATTCCAGTGCCCTTTTTCGCAAGTGTTTGCCCCAATATTTATAAAGAGGGCCCTTTTTTTTAAGTTAGTGCCCTATTTACAAACAATGTGTGCCTTTTTTTTACTAGCGGCTGTAACGAGTGCCTTTTTAGAAATTTCGCGCGCCTCCCTGAAAAACGTTGGCCGTCCTCTTTGAAAAGCGCCAATGAACAGCCCGGGAGTAACCCAGTAACAGGAAGTAAACGTGACCTCTGAGTTGATTTGAGTTAAAAACTCGGTGTGACCTTTCTTGCTTCTTCTTTTTATCTGATATTTTTAATAACATCGGTGCGAAAGGAAACATTTCTGACAATGCATTAAGCTTATAGTAGGGGGGCCAATGTGCAGATTTGGGTTCCCGTCGAAATTTCATGTTAATTTATGGCAACCATTATAAATGTAATCTTATGAGTCCTGAGAACAAGAAAATTGATGTTGCCATTTTTTCCATTGACCTTTAGTGACCTTGACCTGTGGTCAAAGTTCATGGGTCATTTTCACCTAAAATTTGCCTTTCGGAAGGGTTTGCGAAGATTTTCGAGGCAAGTGAGCACATACTGTATTTGGTTGAGAGTTTCTCCATAATAATAAATGTTATTATTAATGTATTTATGGGTTTTCCTGAAGAAAACATGGGAAAATGTCACTTCTGCCCGAAAAGGTTGTTTTGACCATCTCACGCAGATTCCGCCCCCCCCCCATGACCTTGGCCATCGAGTGACGAAAAATTATGTTACTTGGTACATGCATAGAACAACATAACATGAACAAACCCAAGAAATTTCATGATTATGGGTTAAAGGGTTTTGGAATTACGGCTAATTAATTATTCATAAGCACGTATGGTAATTCAATTGTGTACACTACGTATATGGGGAAATTCAGTTTTGACGGAGGGTAGCGCCGAAAATATTTCGCTGCGCGGCAACCTGTGGTTCGAATTTTATGTTTTTGGTATCAAAAGATGTGCAAGACTCGAGGCTAAAACGTCAGGACAGCTCAGGCCGTGAAATAAATAATTTTTTTCAAGAGTATCGCGGAAAAAGTTGAAAGAGGGAAAATCCGCCCCCTACCCTTTTTAGGGCCTTAATATGACCAACCCTTTAGTGCCTGGCATCTAAATATGAAATGTTGTAAGGTGTCCTCTGCAGTACCACACTCGCAAAGGGTGTTTGTCGGTTGAGGAAAATCCCGACTTCTTTTGATGCGAGCCACTCCAGAGCGGAGGTGATTTAAGCACCTCCAGGTCTTCCATCCTGCATTGGATCCTGCAGGTAAGGCTTCTGCAGGCTTGATTGGCATCTCATGTAGTGGGGGAGACGCCACCAGTCTGGTCAACCCAGGAGGCACACACTTGGGTCTTAATAGGGTTGATCGCTTTCAGGTGACTCACAGTGAAGCACTGCTGTGACTGGTCAAGAACATCGGTCAACGTCTTCCCTTGGGGGACCGTTCCTTTTAAGACGTACTCTACTCTGCCTTTGAATACTACAAAGAAACGATGGTTCTTCAATAGAACACCAATAAACTGGGTAAGGGTCAGGTCTGCCGTCATGTCCAGGATCTTCTGAAGGAGTCAGCAACGGTTAACACTGTCAAAAGCAGCTGTAAGATCAACAAAGACAGCGCCGGTGATATAATTTTTCTGATGGAAGCAGTCCTTAATGTACTGAGTGAGGTTTAGAAGCTGTCCCATTGTAGATTTGCCGGGACGGAAGCCTGCCTGCCTGGTCCTGTATCAGTTGTTTCTCAATGAAGAGGCAAGAAGGTTGAGGAGGAAATATTCCAGCAACTTGAATGTGTGACTTTGGGACGATAAGTTTTGACATGCATTGGGTCTTTTCCGGGTTTTAGGAGGGCGATGACCTTCGACTTTTGCCACACTTTAGGTATTGTTTGTGTTGCGAGGCAGGTGTTGATGAGCTGGAGTAACCAATTTGAGGCGTTTGGTCCAAGATGTTTCAGTTCTTTGGTGAAAATGTTATCCAGTTTGGTTAATTTCCTGTTCTTTATTTATGCCAGTCGCAAGTTCATTAGCAGAGAAGGATTTGATGAAGCCAATTAGGTCGATGGCGGGGTCTTTCTGGCGGAGCTTGGCTTTCGGTCGCTTATCAGGAGAACGTGGCACTTTACCATTTAAATAGCAGTTGTTGTGGGCTATTTGGTTGGCGGAGATGTTACAATGCTGTTCACTTGGCTGAGCTGTTTTTTTATATTATACTCCAGGCTTGGAGGCCATATTGGCTTCTTGGCCATATTGGTGGTTACCACAAGGGTTTGCCACAAGCTTTGAAGCTGTTCTGATATGGCTGTTATTAATTCCTCCCCAGATGAGATGGTATCGACAGCAAGAGAGTCGTTTTATACATGCGTTTCTATTTCCTGTAAAGTTCAGCACTACGGGATGCTGCTAGGCCTGGGATGTAATCAGTGCGGCAGCCCGTAGGGATGTTTTTGCACCACCACATCAACAAACCGGTGTCATAGTTATCAGGGGTTGGATCAATGTCAGCTAGATGGTGTTTGAGCTCATTGGTGAAGCCTTCACAGTTGGCCTTACTAAGTTGAAACAGCGGTGGAATGGAATTGTTGCGAAGAGACAGCAGCAGTCACTTTGATTCCAATAGGGCGATGTCGGGTCTTTGGAATGGGGTCAAGGACCATCTTGTTGCTAAGTGAGGCGATGTTGTGGCTCACAAGGGCTAGAGCAGGGTTGAAACTTTATCTCCAGCCTCCACTATGGAAACACTTCGACAGTTTCGCATTGTGCAGGCATGCAACTGTAAACTCACCAAAAAAGAGGAAATTCCTAAATTCAGAAGACTTTGTACAGTGATTTTCAATTTTGAATGGCAGAAATGAGAATAAGCTGATCCGAGGAAAAGTTGCATGCCTGATTGTGAATAAGGCTCAGTTGACTTGCTTCGGCCAGCGATTCAAAAGCGTCGACGTCTGTGCTGGAATGATAGCCAATGATGCTGCTGTGGCTTTTAAATCGCCGATAATTATGCATGGCTTGGGATGTTTTGTGGATTGTGGCGGTGGCATTAGGATGGCAGACCTGGAGGTGCTTAAATCACCTCCGCTCTGGAGTGGCTCGCACCAAAAGCACCATGAAGAAGTGGGGATTTTTCTCAACCGACAAACACCCTGTGTGAGTGCGGTACTGCAGAGGACACTTTACAACATTTCATATTAAGATGCCAGGCACTAAAGGGTTGGTCATATTTTGGCCCTAAAAGGGGGCAGATTCCCCCCCCCCCCCTTTCAACTTTTTCCGCAATACTCTTGAAGAGTTATTTATTTCGCGGCCTGAGCTGTCCTGACGTTTTAGCCTCGAGTCTTGCACATCTTTTGATACCAAAAACATAAAATTCGAAACACAGGATGCCGCGCAGCGAAATATTTTCGGCGCTACCCTCCGTCAAAGCTGAATTTCCCCATATACGTAGTGTACACATTTGAATTACCATACGTGCTTATGAATAATTAATTGGCCGTAATTCCAAAACCCTTTAACCCATAGTCATGAAATTTCTTGGGTTTGTTCATGTTAAGTTGTTCTATGCATGTACCGAGTTTCATAATTTTTCGTCACTCGATGGCCGAGGTCATGGCGGGGGGGGGGGTATCTGCGTGAGATGATCAAAACAACCCGGCCCTTTTCGGGCAAAAGTGACATTTTCCCATGTTTTCTTCAGGAAAACCCATAAATACATTAATAATAACATTTATTATAATGGAGAAACTCTCAACCAAATACAATGTGTGCTCACTTGCCTCGAAAATCTCCGCAAACCCTTCCGAAAGGCAAATTTTAGGTGAAAATGACCCATGAACTTTGACCTCAGGTCAAGGTCACCAAAGGTCAATGGAAAAAATGGCAACATCAATTTCTTGTTCTCAGGACTCATAAGATTACATTTATAATGGTTGCCATAAATTAACATGACATGCCAACGGAAGTACATTGGCCCCCCACTATTATTCAGGGCAAGAGTTTTCGAAAGAAAAATAAGACATTTGTGGACGCGTGTATAGTATTGGTCAATGGACCGATCAGGAAACCCGAACCGCACGTAGTTTCAACAAATGAAAATCACGGTCCATAAATTGTGTGGTGTTTGCTAATTGCATGTACAAAGACGGATTATAAATTAGGGATGTTTCTGTGTCAGGGGTAATTGTACATTATGCACACTCATGGGGGATTCCCGCATGGTACATAGCCTACAACATGATCAACCATCGAACGCAAACCGTGCTGGCAAGTTTCAGGTAGCTCCCATAACCTTTCACACGATTCAAGCATTTCGATGTTTTGTATTTTATATTTTCAGTACATGTGCTGTTTAAGCGATTAGCCACATGTCTATGGCCAGATTAGCCACATGTCCGAGGAGATTATGTTTGCAGCGGCGTTGGTTTTTTGGGACTGTTTGTTTGTTTATTGGTTGGTTTGTCTGTTAACCGGATAACTCAAAAAGTTATAGACGGATTTTCTCAAATTGTTTTAATGTTGGTCCATGGTACAAGTACATATCGATTAGATTTTGGAAGTGATCAGAATCTTGTTCAGGATGCAGTATTTTGTCGACCAGTTGATACTATGGGGGAGTGGGGAATGTGCAATAAAATATGGAAGTCTAGTGGATATGCGAGTATTTCTAACAATATGGCGGGGAATCGTTCAGCCATAGCGGAGGTTTGCACTCTCTGAATGCTTCTGGTTTCGTAAGTTGTGAGAACGACAACTGGTACATTGATGTAATTAATTATTACTGTTGGATATACAACGTGAATAAGCCTCTGTATTGATGACGTTACACTTTGTTTACGTGTGTGCTTTCCTATGGCGCTCAGTGGACCGTGGGCCCCCACTGGCTCCATGGAAAAGTGCGCATGTAAACAAAGTAAGACGTCATCAGTACAGAGGCTCATTGGGTGCGACAAAGCAGAACTTTGTATTTGAGGTTGGAAGTTAACCCTTACAGGTTACTTTTACAGTTACAATCAGTGTGGTAAGTGCAATCGTTTTCTTTTCTAAATAACATGTATAAATAACCACTAATAATCACTAAAACACAGAATGAATAAGAAGAACGCGTGGCAACCCATGATTGGGGATACATCTTCTGGGATGATACACTCAAAGTGGCAGTTGCGTCTTTTCCCCTTTTTTTCTAGTTTGTTGAGTGGCAATGGAAACATTTTAAACAGCTCTAAAAATTATAATACAACATCTTTTTTGATTAAAAAATTCCAAAGAATAACTTTTCTCCTTCATCCTTAATTTGAAGCGTAAAGACTAGTTCAGAGAGCACTTCCGTGCATCTGTCCTTCAGTTAAGATTAGTTTAAGTTTATTTCAGCTTATTTCGAGCAATTTTATACAGCAAAAGACAATTATACACTTAGAATTCAACCAGATTCCTCGTTTTCAATAGGAAACTGACCAAAAAATGGCATGAACGACTGACCACATATTTACAAAAACGTCAAATGTATGATTTAAACTTTTAATAAAACAAACGTGGTTAACAATAAGCAACAGTTGCGAACTGTTGCAATAGTTTAACAATCAAATGGACTTACCGTTTAGTCGGGCATTGTTTGGGGGATAAGTTGAGCTCCACGAGCCTGACGCCGTCAGGCTGGAATCAGGGATGGCCCCACTGGCCATCCCCAGAGGGGAACTTGTACATGAAAGTCCTGAAATGACACAAATAACAATTATTATTATTATTATTAATATATAACAATATATAACATGTTTGATCTTAGTTTCTACGGAACATATACAAAATTGGAATCGTTTTCATTGTTATGGATTTTGACACTTATTTCGGCCGGTCTATAGGAAAATCCTTCTGGGTAATTACATTACTGTTACGTTGATATTTTTCTATAAGTACACCCAACATTTTTTTGGATAACATGTTCAGTTCGCAATTATTAAACCGCAAATTTCAAAGTATTTCGACAATAAATTAGGCGGATTTTTTGCAATAAGATGCACAAAATCTGCTCAAAATAAAAGTGTTCAAAATAAGTTTGGTTTTTTTCTTCAAAATAAAACATACAGATTGAAATTCGCTTAGAGAAACAAATCTGAATTTTTCGAAGGGCACTTTTAAGTATAATTGGATGTCAAACATGCAAAAAATACAATATCAAAAATACATCCAAAAGTTATCGGGATTTACCTCCCCTGATCAAGAGTCATATTGACTTAAGGTACATAAATTGAAAATACATAGTACTAAATATTTACATTGAACATCGGTTTCAGGTGCTTAATACCTGATATGCTTGGGCTCCTTGTGTGGTCTTGTGACGTCACAGATTGTACAACAGGATGGGCTGCGCCTTGTTATAAAACACAAGGTTAAGAATGGCTTATCTTAATTACTATAGCATGCATGTTTAATCAAAATAAACAGAACAGAAAACTGAAAAGCACAAGAACTGTCTCATGATTTCAGGAATAAAAAAATAGGGCACTCTTGGTACCGCCTAATATACGTACAAGTGGATTCTTTAGAATTGCATTCCGGGTTATTTAACTACTGATCCCTTAGGTGTAGGCTACCAATTACTGCAATTATAAGACATTGGAGACTTCGCTCGTACCCCCCGCCCTGCAAACAGGACGCTGGGATACTCTGATGAGCTTCACAGAATCTTGTGAGGGAAATGGCCTATGACCTATGTATAAAGCATCTGGCTGCAGCTGTTTAAGACCGCAGTTAGACAATGGGCGCAAATGCTATCCGAAAACTTCCCATAGAATTGCGCACATGCCATACCGGATATGATTTCTGTTTCAGCGCGGACCATGTGGACACAATTTTGAGCGTCGGATAATGCAATCCGACCGTTCGTGATTCGAAACGGAGCCTGAGCGAGGGACGGGAATTGTAAATTTACAACACAGATAAGTTTTACAGAATTTCCTACATTATTACGCTTTTCAACGAGAAAACAACATCTCTAAACTGGAATAAAAGAGTAGTGAATCAGTCTTAAACGGCCGTTTCAAACCTTGCAGAGTCATGACCTCGATGACGCGCAGGTCACTGGCCACGCAAAATCCAACCAATCAGAGCGTGAATTCATCAGAGTATCCCAGCGTCCTGTTTGCAGGGCAGGGGGTACGAGCGAAATTGGAGACTTCTAGTTTTGGTTGGTTCTTTTCATAATTGGAAAGACTAGGAAAATGGTCAAAGAAAATTTGGCTATTGAAGCTGTGGAGACGTTGAATATTGTTTTGCACAGGGTCTTCTGACTCATAGAGAGTGTAATTGGGAGTAATGCTTCACGTGCACACAGTCAAGTCACTAGTACGGTGGCCCTGGAACGACATTTTAATATTGACCTTTTTAATATGAACCTTGTGACTTCTTAATATTGACAATGTACCTTCGCAATATGCACGTTGCACGTAGCTTAATATCGCATTGTGGAAGTTTTTCCTTCTTAATATGAATGTTCCAACTTGTTAATGTTCACGTTCGATCTTGTCAATGTACACCATTGATCATGCTTGATGTCAACGTTGCACCTTGCTTCTTCGCAATATGAACCATGTACCTTCGCATATCATTGTTAAACCGTCCTCCTTCGCAATGTGAATCATGCATTCTAAAAAGTACGAAGTCCTTGTCAAGCCCTATAGTTAAACAACCAGTTATGATGGATTTTCAATCTGACAGCTGTTTAATGTCACTTAACCTGGGTCTACCTTGTAGTGATTTTTATCATGAATCAAGGCTCTCTGATTTATTTCACATATCTTTTATAATTCATGTTCAGGGATGTATAAAGACACAATCCCATTCAAAATCCTTCCGAAACCCAGCTGGATAAATTTAAAAGCTGTATATGTCAACTTATTTAATCAATAGGTTTGAAAGGAACATCATTTATATGCGGTGGTACCGTTACGAAATAATATCCACGTCTTATAAAGCATGACACCAATAGTAAGGGCATACATTGATATTTATTACTTCGGGGCAATATCGGGGATTTCACCAACGGTCCCATTCCCGTCAATCATTGTAAAAGCGATAGCGCACGGGGAACAGGTGGCTTCGGTCAATTATTTAATTGGTTATTCAGTGCATACACCCGCCTTATACTCGAGCTTGTCTAGGGGCTAGACGTTTTTATGGTTGAATGCGCGATTACCCTCTGCAGCGATAACCCGCCACCGCGAGAGAGCGCCGCATCACGACCGCACCGTTGCGTCGAGTGCGAATCACGTGTTGCCGGGGCACCCTATACGAAGTTGTTTGCTTGGAGTTCATGCATACATGACTGGTCGTCAGCCAATTTCGAATATTCTTCATGTTGCGGTCAGGCGCGGATATCCGGGGAGGGGGGGGGGGGGGGGTTATGTAGGGTTCGACTTAGCAGTAGCCCAAAAACCAAATGCTCGTCAAAACAGCGGGGATCCTCATACTATTTGGTAAGGAGCCCTGTTGGCGAGTCAAAAATTATTGGGATATGGCAAAGATGAAAGTACAGGAAGAAAGAAATCATTACATTCAGAAAGCAAACAGGTATAAATTTGTGTATAGTAAACGGTTGAAATGATTAGATCGGGTTATTTGAAACAATGACAAATTTGCTTCAGGATGCATGTTTTTACATGTATGCCCAACCTTGGGTTATGGTTAGCCTGAACATGAATTATAAAAGATGAGTGAAATAAAACAGAGAGCCTTGAGTCATGATAAAAATCACTACAAGGTAGACGCCCAGGTTAAATGACATTAAACAGCCGTCAGATTAAAACTCCATCATAACTGGTTGTCTAACTATAGGGCTTGGCAAGGACTTCGTACTTTTTAGAATGCATGATCCACATTGCGAAGGAGGTCGGTTCAACAATGATATTAACAAGATGCAAGGTCAAACTTTCACAATGCGAAGGTACATGGTTCATATTGCGAAGAAGCAAGGTGCAACATTGACATCAAGCATGATCAATGGTGTACATTGACAAGATCGAACGTGAATATTAACAAGTTGGAACATTCACATTAAGAAGGAACAACTTCCAAAATGCGATATTAAGCCGCGTGCAACGTGCATATTGCGAAGGTACAACGTCAATACTAAGAGGTTACAAGGTTCACATTAAAAAGGTCAATATTAAAATGTCGTTCCAGGGCCACCGTACACTAGAGTTCCTCACACTTCAATGTAGCACATTACAGTATAATCACTTATATATTAATTTAGGCCAAGATAATGAGATGGAAGCGAAAGCACGCTGATTATCAGATTACGTTTCATAAGAAATTCAAAATTTCAGGTAAAAACATTTAGTTGCTTGCTTTGATTTTTTTGCAATAGAAAAAAAAATACCATTAATAATTAACGTGTTAATTAATATAATCGCGTAATTCATTTCAATTTCATACTTACCAAATGGCGCATTTATGACGAGAAGCGTTGCCACAAACACGAGGAAACTATGATAAATGAAAGCCATTATTTTAAGATGAAAAAAATTGGTTAAGAATGCGATTTTCCACAGCAGCTCGAGCAAAGTATGAATCGACGGAGGTTTGTAATCGGTTTATATAGCAGGGTTCTGGGTATCCAGGTTACGGCGTGTTGGCGTTAAAATGTCAAAACGGATGTCTACCTGATCCATCACAAAATGAGCAATCAAATTCTTCCAATTTGTACCATCTGAGAGAACGCTTAATATGTTGGTCGAGCGGTGATAGTAAATTATAAAACAGGAAAAGATATGGAGTTATGAGTATACAGATGTTTCGGAAATCTTCCACAATCACACATGCTATATGTATCTCTATCGTTTCGGTTTGCGGTAACACCATGTGGTAAAAAGTACTGTTTAGAAGATATTTAGTTCTCTAAAGAACTTGTCCTGCTTATTATCAACTTTCGCTAAGTACTTTTTGATCTGATAAGAACATTCCTGTTTTAAGTTCTAAAAAAAACTTGTCTTTGGTCTCAATGTTTCGACTAGCCTGCTCTAGTCATCGCCAGGAGACTGACAATCTTTATATAAGCCTCAAATCTTATATATGCATCTTTCCAAGTCCACAAGGAACCCGATTAGGGATTGGGGGGTCACTTGTTGATATCCTTCTCTAGAAATGATCATTGGGTACAAATACTAATTAGAAATTTAGAATGCCAAGTTATACTTTGAATGACAAGCCATTGTTTGAGCCGAAACTAAATGAGTTTTGACTTACGCATTTAAGAGTAAAAGAATGGAGGAAAATTGAATTTTCATTGATATTGTAAAGGTAAAAGTGCTCTTACCTACACCTAGACCAAACTTTAATGCATCAAGTATGTTTCTAAAACGATGAAACAAAAGTCAGGTCCATTTAATATTTAATAAAATTAGAAAGAATATTATGCTCAAACCAAACTTCATAATCAACATTTCGATATTTCAATTCTACCAAAATAGACGTGCATTTATAAATTATCAGTACAATAACATTTGTAAATGCGAGGCAGAGTCATGGGCGGTGCCGAATATGACAAAGCAAAGAGGCCCCGTTGGGGTTTAAATTTGGAATTAAACTTTCTTCGTATCCTTATGACGCATGTGTTTTGGCACTGGAGCAATTTCGTCAAGTATGACTGGCTGGCAATCAACTTCAATGTTCAAGGATGTTTCACTTGAACTGCTCTAAGCAGTGCATGAAGCATGTGGCGTTGACATTGCAGTAATTAATGTGTCGGCGATTCATAAAAGCAAATAATGTGAAACCGATATTTGTTCCGAAACACAGCAGAAGAAAATTATTCTAACGACACACTACTTGGAGTTAAGTCCGGCATGAAATTAAAATAACAAATGGAAAGGACTCAAGAGGTGCATACGGCAAACGTTAATTCATCCTGTAATTCTGATCCCGAGGCCGGATTGCCTGTCTGCGCTATTACAGCGTTTTTAGATTGTCAGTTTTTAGTTATCCGTTCAACCTAACGCTTTGTGAATTGTCCTTCTTAATTGTTAATGTTACTTTTTGAACTCTTTAAATGATCTTTCCTGTATAACGATTAATTCTCCTGATTGTAATGTATTACTCACAGTTTTCCTTGTATACACACCCACAAACTGTGCATGCAAAGTGTGTATTGTTTTCTACAGAGCAAAATAATGACCTAGCTGCCCACACTTTAATTTAAAGGGACACTGCGTCCTGAAACGAGCACAATTTGGCTACAAAACGCGCTTTATACGGAATGATGTTCATCAGAAAGAGCATTTGAAAGTAAGATATAAACATCCACACAACCCTCCTTTAAAAAAACAGGGTGTTTTGTGTTATTCTTGTGTTATTCATGCAAGAACGACTTTCGGGGTCCGCTGTAATTTTTTTGCGACTCCAAAACGTCGGACTGTTCATGCCAGCCGTAAAGTGTTGCCTTCTGCGGACGTGTGTAAGAAACCACATACGTGTATTGGTGCTGTGTGAAATGTGAGACACACAACGTGTATCGTACATTGACTGAAACGACAGGTAAAACGTATGCGTACTCCGTCGTGTCCGATGTAAACAACTGGGGTTTTTTTTCGTCTTTTCTCGGGAACGATTAGACATTAGGTTGCTTTCCTTTTCAACCAGATGTTTGAAAAAGGATAAATAAACAATCCAAAGCAAGAAAGTTACTGGACCATAATTGTTTCAAGTTGTTATTGCTCATCCACAGTCATATTTATTTCCAAAAATACATGACTAAGTCCCTCTTTTTTCAAATATTTCTTATTTCAACTACATCCTGTTTCCATGTCCATTTATCAGTGTACTGCCCCATAAGTAGTTCTTCATTTGATTCAATTTTCAATTCAATCATGTGGTCAGTTCACCCAGTTCTCTATTCCTTAATTCACTAGTTTAGTTATTCATTGTATATCGTTGTGGAATAAAGTCGCGATTAACACAGTCATCAACTAAAGAAGTGTGTATTGATTACCTATTTTTAAAAAAAAAATGGAAAAAATCCTTAGTCCGCCAAGCACTGACTACATTTAGAATTGTTTTTATTAACTGAGATGCGAAGAACGTTGTAATTCGACTTTCTTAGCTTCCTCACCGACTGTCAATGGAAATGTTCTGGGCAAAAACATCGAGCATCTGGCACTCGAAGTTAAATTTGCGGTGAAGTGCCAATAATTCAACAGAAACAGACGTCAACATGCAAGCCAGTGCATATGAAACCCGTATTAATATCGATAACATCAGAAGAAATCAAGAAGTGGAGGAGATTTCCAGCGAGGGTTTGGGCGTTGGGGGAGCCCCCCCCCCCCAACCCTAAGAAGTCATGCCCTCACTGGAAATTCAGCAACTGGAGAAAACCACAGTACAACTACTTACCATACTCAGCTCTGTAACATAAAGTGTCTTTTTTCACGTTTTCTGTTTATTTTTCGCGAAAACCGTGGGTTTTTTTTGCGAACGTCCCGCGGAAATCGAATAGCGCCACCTATTGCCTGACATTGACCATGATGTTGGGTTTGAACAGCGCCCCATGGGATTTTCCTCATTCTTCTGTAGTCAGATATGACTGAAAAAAGGTCAAAACAAATACCTGCAGTCCTGCACCCAACTGGCCCTACGTAGGCCCCTCATGTGAGGAAAAAGGTTTTTTTTCTCAAACATTAATTGGGTCAATAGAGGGCGCTCGCTCTCTCACAGTTAAATTGCGAAGGTACCAAGCGTAGAACAAATTTCTATTGACTCGAATGATACCCCCCCCCCCCAAAAAAAGGGAAAATACTCATATTCAACCCAGGTGATCAGGACACCCATCAAAGTAACTCTAAAGGAGCTGGGTTAATTTGACCATTTTGTAACACGATCTTAATACCTCAGGCCAGCAATAATCAACCGAAAACTGTTATTATTTCAAGGCTATGCACTTGTTGTGTGAACTTTTATAATCTACTTTTTGAAAAATCTTTTCAACGCTCTATTTAGCCCCATGAGCGCGTTCGCGGCCAACATACACCTTCAAATATCACGCTTTGTGTCTCGATCTCTAGACTTCTTGTGTCGTGCGAGAAATTTAAACATACGTAAAGCCTTAGGTCACTCACAGTCCTTATAAATAGCATGACACAATGGAACGGGGAAGCCCCTTTCCCAGTACCGCTTCCTCATTTGAATAACAATGGAGCAAAGTTGAGGTCAGTGAGCATGTACAATGATGCAACTATAGAATACACAATAGAGCAAGTGGTTACACACCCATCAGCAATTCCCGCAGGCTTCATATGCAGTTTCTACCTGTGTCAGATCAGACGTGAATCAAGGTAAGTTTTTTTATTTTTCATGTATCAATGGAGTATTCGAAGTCAGCAACTTCATTCTGGTTCTCATTTTGCTGGAAAATGATTTCTGCAGCCTCGAGCAATCTTCATTTCCCCTAGTTTTCAAGATTTTCAACAGTATTTTGACACAAACAGTGACTGAATTATCCCCTCCAAAAAAAATCAAATTGAAGCTGAATCACCACAGGTTTTTGCATTGAATTAATCGCGTGTTAGTACAGGCAAATTATCTCATTTTTTGAGTGAACCTCAAACAAATTGCAACAGAATTTATTTCACCACAGTGCATTTCTATAAGGTCCCTAAAATGACATACTATAAGATTCTTAAGAAATCCAGGTGGTGGAAATATGCCTAATTTGCATAACTCCAAAATGGCAGCATATTTTTAGGACTTTCGCACTGATTTGGTCATATTTCATATACTAGGTATCTTTTTGATGTATTTTAAACAATAATTTTAGTCCTTTTACATTGATTTACTCATTATTCTAGATCTTGGTAACTTTCAATATCCCTATGTTTCCCAAATATGCGATGTGCCGATAATAATTTGCGTAAATGCCATTTATTAATTTGCATAGATTAAAGTTAAAATTATGGCTGTCATGTGTTGACATGTCAACATTAAACTTTCCCTGATAATCTAAGTTCAGTCATGTACATAGATAGATTCCACACCATGGTGCATTGCTATAAGGTTCCTTAAAAAAAGGAAAAAAATCCAAGTGGTGGAAATATGCCTCATTTGCATAAATTCAAAATATAATTACATGATTTCTGATTTGGCCATAACTTTGGCCATTGCTTTTTGGAGTACTTTGAACAACAATTTGTCCTTTGACATTGATTTCATTCCAGTCCTGGGTACCTTTTGAGATCCTGTGTTTCCTATGGGGTATAATATTTTTGTTAGGTTTCTAGATCTTGTCAAAGTTGGTATAAGTGTTGGAAATGTGATATTCCTGTGTCGCAGAGCGAACCCTTTCGCCGCTCTACTCGACCAAAAATCAAGGAATAACTCAAGAGAACAGAGGAGTCAACGCAGGATTTATCAATCACAAAAATCAAAATTATATATTACGGGAAAGAAATAAACCAAAAACTGCACAACTCAATCCGAAAATACATGGGCGAGGGTTTTATACCCCTCCCACATGGGTGCAAGCCCGGAATTGGTATGCAAAGGGAAAGGAATAACATAACACTTTACGGCCGTGACAATCTAGTGATTAATTCATCAAATCAGAAAATAAAAGGAAAAATTTTAACAGTCTTGTGACACCCTGTACATGAACTCATTTCAGGGACAAAAAAACTCTACTTTAAATCCACTAGAACACTGCATAGGGATATCACATTTTGCAACACATATGCCAACTTTGAGATGAGCCAAAAACCAAACAAAAAATATTGTACCCTATTTTTTTGTAGAAAACATGTTGGGGTTTAATTTTCATATAAGTTTGTCTCAATGTCGTGTGATCCACTAGATCAAAATGTCAAAGTAAAGGTCAAAATGTCATTATACTTCAAATAACCCCGACATGAAAAAACAATGGTAAATTTGGATTTCTCATGATGTAACCTTTCAAAAGAAATAAAGATTAACAAATTTGGCTCACAGATTATAGAGATATGGTCATTTATAAAATGGCAGCAATGTCCATTTTGACCAAAATGCCCCCATAAACTTAATATGAACCAATTTGAAGAGGTTTGGGTTTAAAATATAAAAGTTTTGGGGGTGATTTGACACTGAATGACCCCAATGTCAAATGACAAAATGTTGTTTAAAGCACCCCGAAAAGCAACTTAGGACGAGAGTTAATTATTAGATAGTTGCATTTTTCTTTGCTAAAGAAGAAATTTTTCTCATAGAGTTAACATTCTACCATGTGACGGCGGTCTTGGAATTCAAAATGGCCGCCATTTCGGGCCTAATTTGTATCAACCTGATTGTCATATGAAGTTCATTTTGATGGCATACCCCATGTTTTTGATACCAAGGAACCCGAGAAAATCGTTGTTGATGGGGGATACTCCCAGTGGAGTACCCCATCAACAATGATTATAACTTTGGTTCCTTGGTATCAAGAACATGCAGTTTGCCACCAAAATGGACTTAATACGACATTCAGGTGCCACCTTATTATTCAAATGAAATCCAAAATGGCTGCTATTTTTGAATATCCAATATTGGCTGTCATCCATTTGAGATGCCTAAATGTGTTAATTGGATTCCTTGGTATCAAATTTATGGGGTTTGCCACCAATAGTGACTTCATACGACATTGAAGTCCAAATTAAATATGCAAATTAGTTCAAAATGACGGCAATTATGAAATATTCAAGATGGCTGCCATCAATTGTGAGTACCCCGTCCACAGTGATTTACTTGAGTTCATTCAAAAACATGGACTTCATAGGACATTCGGGTGCAATGTTATTATAGACCTTTCTGTGCTTGGATGGCAAACTGCATTTTTGCCAACCACGGCCTGCAAACACTATGGAAGGTCCAACACTGCAAAAATGAATTACAGATCACCAAAATATAACTTGATACTTGAAAATAAAACATTTTCAACAAAGCTACAAAATAATTCATACATATGCCTTTTTACTATGTGTTGATGGCGTTATGAGGACTTTTTGGAAAAATATGTTGCCAACCACGGCTTCAATTTATGCGCTTACGGCAGCCCATATAAAATGGCGCCAATGTTTACAAACAAAAGAAAGGCCTATAAATAAATCCAAGATGGCGGCTATTTTGAAAAAATCCGAGATGGCTGCAATCCATCTGGGATACATCATCTGCAATGGGTAAAGATTACTGGGGATTAAATGTATGGGGTTTGCCACCGAAATTGACTTTTTAAACCATTCAAGTCCGAATTTATTATGCAAAGAAGCCGAAAATGGCGGCCATTTTGAAATATCCAAGATGGCTGCCATCCATTTGGAGTACATCGTAAACAATAATGTACTCGGGTTCTTTTGTATCAAAAAAATGGGTTTGCCATCAAAATGAACTTTATGTGACAATCAGGTCCGAAGTTACAAGATACAAATTAGGCTCGAAGTGGCGGCCATTTTGAAATCCAAGATGGCCGCCACATGGTAGCTGGGAAAAAATGTCTCCAATGCATTTCCGATCGACTTGAGGGAGGTAAACTCTTTCCAAATATGGCAAAAATTCCTTCTTAAAAAAAAAAAAAGCAACAGTACATAATGGCCTATACTATGGCCAAATCATATGAAAATCATGTAATTAGCGGCCTTTTTGATTTATGCAAATTAGGCATATTTCCACCTCTTGGATTCTTAACTTGTTTAGGGGCCTTATAGCAATGCACTGTGATGTGAAATTTGGCTTGGATTATTAGGGAAAATTCAATTGGTACATGTCCACACATGGCATCCATTATTTTAACTTTAATTTAGGCAAATTGATATACGGCATTTATGCAAATTTTACGGCATTTGGAAAATTTCGGAAACATAGGGATCTTGACCTTTACCTAGGACTAGAATAATGAGTAAATCAATGTAAAAGGACTAAAAGTGTCGTTTAAAGTACCTTCAAAATCTACCTAGTATGAGAAATATGACCAAATCAATGCGGAGGTCCTAACATATGCAGCCATTTTGGATTTATGCAAATTAGGCATATTTCCACCACCTGGATTTCTTAAGACTTTTAGTATGTCATTTTAGGGACCTTATAGAAATGTACTGTGGTGAAAAAAAAATTATGTTGCAATTTGTTTGAGGTCAAACCTTATATTGCCTGTACTATATGGGCTGGCACACTTTCAATCATAATCTTAATGTGTTTTGTCGTCATTTTCATCATTTGCCCCGTAATTTCCCTCAAAATCCATAACCTTGCTCTCATTGCATGAGATTCATGATGCTTTTTTTTTTAAATTCCGCTCAAATCAATAAGCTTCCACACTCAAAATGTTCTGTAGTATTGACATTAAAGAAGAGTTTCTGTACATTGTACTATAGATATTTCACAAGGCTTGGACGATTGTTCGGTTATTCTGTTATTCGATTACGCAATCGTTGGGTAGTCCGAGTATCACCCGTTATCCACGGAGCCAAGATTGAAAAATTGCCTGCCTTAATTTTACCCAAGAAAGGGTGAAAACTGCAACACTACCCCAAATTGGGTTGCTCTTTAACCAATTGTTTTGGTAAAGATTTATGTTAAATTCAACCAAAAGTTGTGGTTATAAAAACAAATTAAATTTGGGCTTGTATGACCCTTTCTTGGGTAAAACTAACCCAGGCAATTTTTCAGTGAAGTCTCCTGTATAACGTCTGATATATCTAAGCATGCCTGACGTCGTTTTATCCCGAAAGCAGGACTAAGATTGTGATTGGTCAATTTTGATGCCGCGTTTTTGTAATAAAACAACCTATACACAAATGCTAGTGATCGTGGGCGTGATGTTTACGCACGCTGGGAGCCCGAATTACGCGCGTATAAAAGGCGCCTGCTGGTGGCTCAGTTTCTCGAGGTCATACACAGGCTAAGTTGCATAATTAATCGCCGAATCTGTGTACATATAATAGACCATGGCGGCTTCGCACGGGCCAAGGTCTCTATGTCATAGACTAATGGTTGGGTTCCTCAGGCTTCAGAAACAAGGAGCAAAACAGGACTAGGAGTCTTTTATCATTGATAGGCAACACATTGCAAATTCAGTTCATTTAGTTTTTTATCGTTTACGGTAAGTTGTTCTTGCTTTATTCGTTTGGCAAGTAACTGTTCCATTTTTGTGTCTCATTTAGAGATTCGGAAAGACTGTTGCGGCCTGACGCCACTTTTTTCTTCGTATATCATCTCAATAAGGGTCAGTCATTGCAAACATGTTTTAAAAAAAGAATCTGGGACTGAACATTTTTTCCAAGTTTGTTAAAAATTGATATGATTTTCTTTATTCTTCTCAATTACCATTGTTTTACTGTTACATACAGTCGTGACATCATTCATGTCGGCGAGTGCGTGAAAAATGCTTGTCGCTTAAGACGAGGTGTCAGATAATACGAGATAATGTCCTAATACGAGATAATACGAGATAATGCCCCCCCCCCTCAACTTTTTCCGCGATAGCCTTGAATTTTTTTTTTTTCGCGACCCGAGCTGTTGTGACTTTTCAGCCTTGAGCCTTGCGCATCTTTTGATACCAAAAGCATAAAAATCGGACCACGGGTTACGTTGTTGCGCAGCGAAAATTCTTCCGGCGTTAAGCGCCATGAAAACTGAATTTTCCCATATACGTCGTGTACACAGAGCAGAATTACCATTTGAAAAAGCCAAACTCTTTGATCTATAGTCATTTAATTTCTTGGGTATGTTTATGATGAGTTGCTCTATGCATGTACCGAGTTTCACAATTTTTCGTCACTCGATGGCAGAGATTTAGGGGGAGCGGAATCCGCCCCGGCTGAGAGATGGTCGAAATAACCCGGCCCTTTTGGGGTTAAGTCCCAAGGAACTCGAATTAACGAGAGTCGACTTAGAAAATTGCCTTGACTCTTCATAGACCGCTGAAGTGGCGTCTTTCCAGAGATTCCGCTCAAATTATCCCATGACTAATGTTAACATGACATTTACAATGAACAAAAAAAAATTTGCGGTCAACCCAAAAACCATTCAAAAAATTGTGAAAAAAGTTTGCTCATTCACTTACTGCTATTACTGACACAGAAACGAATCATCAAAGAAAAGATAAGTAACAAGCAATAACAGCAAAATATGCACAATTCTTGTACTACTTTCTGTGCTAGCTAAAATAGCTACATTGATGTTTATGAAATGTTATCACATTTTTGCTCATGGACATGGAAATTTGTATTTGCATGAAAACCAAAAAGGCACCATAATGCCTTTGAAAATGGAAAAATTAAAATTGAAAAAAGGTTAAATTTGATGCAAATATTTAAAAAAAAAACATTGAATTAAAAAAGTGCATTGCATGGGTCATTTAAGCAAATGTCATTGAATACTAATATTTGAAACTTCAAGAGCAAATCCTGGATTTTCTTAATGGGGAAGAGTGGCAGGGGTGTTGAATTCCAACATTTTGTCAAGGGGGAGGGAGTCGGATGAGCCATTGTTAGCAACACATGTAAAGACCAAGAACTTGAAGATTTTCTTGTATTGTATGTTTTGGGACTCTTCAAGGGTGGATCCAGGGGGGTCAAAGGGGGCCATGGCGCCCCCCCCCCTAAAAAAAAAGTTCTTTTTTTTTTAGATGACTTCGCAATAAAGGCAGGCAATGAGTAAACCACCATCTTTTCCTCACAAAACATTGGTTAAAGTGGTCAGAAATTGCCTCAGATTGCACCACATAGCATCTAGAATCCCCCCAAAATTCAGGGCCCTTGACGGGCCCCGAACCCCACGCCGTAGTTTTTTTTGGGACTGGGACACACTTTTTGGGGACCATTTTTTTTTAGGAAACCCCCCCCCCCCCCACAAAAAAATTGTGTTCTGGATCTGCTCTTGTAACGGTATTGAGAGTCCCGAATGTTCGGACTACGTCAATATCCGACTCACTGACTGACTATCATTTGTGAATTAAACCGATTTCCTATTTGACTGGCTGACGGTCACGAGTGAATCAAACTCGCTACCTATCCCACTGACTTACTGTCACATGTGAATGAGACTTTCCGAATACTGTCACTGACGTGATACATGTGCAGGCAAGGGCTCAATTCGTACGGTGATTTTTTAATTCCATCAAGTAACGTTTTAGCCATTGTGAATCAGAAGAACATAATGATGTGTGCTCTGGGACCAGCTTTGCTAGACTCGCCTTATCCTGATCAATGTTCACATGCATGTAGTTTTATGTACAGTACTAACACGTGTCACTGATAAGCATTAACTTGAAAATGTGTCAAATCCGGAAAGACATAAATAATTATTGCATTGCTATGCAATAATTATTTCATTACTCAGTCACTTCTCAACTTAAGGATGCACTTGTGCCCTTCGTCGGAGTATTATTGTCATAACACCGTTTGATCATTATTCCAGATATTTACATAACGCAAGCACCGTCAACACAAAACCAGGAAATTCGACCTCAACAAGTTGTAAGGGGAATAACCATTAGTTGAAGATCTAACGTTGCCAATTAATGACGTCACATCGGCTTCGGCGATACAGGGGGAATCCCCACTTGATCCCTAGGTTTAATGGTTCAAGCACGCACAAAACTAACCTCGTCCCCAGGGTGTCGAGCAGTACGCGCCCACCACTACCTGCTCTCTCACCCTGGTATTGGATCATTTGCATGTGCAAGATTTTCGAACACGTATGCAAATGAGGAACAGTCTGGTGCCTGGATATGCGTTACACATTAGCGTTTGTTTTTGTATGCGGTGTCTGGGGTAAAAACAGAGTCAATTCGTAGCAGCGCGAGCACGGCGTGAGTTACGAAAACACGATTTTTGAAATCAAACTGTTACGATCTTATCAGGACAACATGCAGTATCACATTTTATATTAATATGAGCAAATTGGATAGGAAATTAGTATTTTCGAGAAGGCGTGGACGAATGATCGCTAAAACACGTATTGCACGTTGTGAATAATAGCACCAAGTACACGATAATAATCCATTACTAGCCAATTGCGGTATCGAATCAGGATACAGGAAGAAAGTTTCCTATCCAGGGCTTACTATTGGAAACCAGGTTGAAAATAAAGTAAGCACTGGGGACGAGGTTGACACAAAACTAGATTGCGTTATAGTCAGGCTACTGTTTCATGGGTGTAAAAAGTCGCGGTTCTAGACCATTTGTATGTGGACGGTAAAAGAAAATGATCTGTTTTTCCCGAGAATCTGATTTTTTTTATTCTTATATTCTGAACTAAAACAAATTTATGGGAATCGGAACAACGGTGGGTGGGAGGGGGGGGGGGTTTTGGAGATGTTTTGGGAGAAAGATCGCAAAATATTATTGTGAAGAATTTCGGGAAGTATCTTCGGCTATGCGTCTCGTTTTTATTTAAATTCGTCGTACAGGAAGAAAACATAGCTGACATGTTATGTAATTGTTTTAATGCAAACCTTGAAAATGAACCTTAACCCTATTTTCAATTTTTGTTTGTCATTTTCAAGGGTAATTAGGTGCCATTTTGGTTTTAATGCAAAAACAAATGTCCACATTCTTAAGCAAAAGTGTGATGTCATTTCAGGCAGAAACCTCAATGTTACAGCTATTTCAGCACCAAAAATTGCACCAGCCGATATGGCCTTCCATCCCATTTGGGCCTCACTCCTTAAGAACCATTAATCATCATGTCTGGCTGTGGAGTTCTCGCTCCCTTTTTGCTGGATGGGTCCAGGACCTCCTTCAATTGCATCAGCGCAACGATTTTGCCAAAATAATGTGTTCACTCATGATCCTAGGTGCTCCCGTTCAAAAGTTGTATGGTTTTGCTCTATCGACTGGCGGCCATCTTGGATTTCTGGGTTAAAATAATGTCAGAGCATCACACTGATGTCGGAATCGGAATCCTGATTTTTGACTTACCTGAGAAAGTGACTTCATACATGATTCTAGGTGCTCTGGTTCAAGGGCGGATCCAGAACACAATTTTGGGGGGGGCCAAAAAAAATTTGGTCCCCCAAAAAAGTGGGTCTAAAAAATTACGGCGTGGGGTTCGGGGCCCGCGAGGGCCCCGAAAATTTTTTGGATTCTAGATGCTCTGTGGTGCGATCTGAGGCAATTTTTGACCACTTTAACCAATTTTTTTGAGGAAAAGATGGTGGTGTACTCATTGCCTGCCTTTATTGCGATGTCACATTAAAAAAAAAAAAATTGGTTTCGTTTTTGGGGGGGGGGCCATGGCCCCCTTTGGCCCCCCCCTGGATCCGCCCTTGCTCTGGTTCAAAAGTTTCATTCACAAACACATCCAACACACGAACGTAAGTCCGTTACATTTTCCCGTATCATAGTATCATTCTCCATGTAGTTATGATTCAATTTAATATCAATTTTCTTTGCCTCATGTTTTGTGCATTTTGTTTTAGATTAAAGCTAAGACCTTGGAATATGGCATCAATTGAAAAGTGTATGCGCATGCTCGCAGTCTTGCTTACGATGGCGACATTGGCTTTATCGCAGACTTCAGTGAACGAGACCGGATACGACAGAACCTGTTTCCTCCCTCCATCTAAACGAACAAGCAACGAGGACCAGGTTAGTTGGTAGTTTCATGTCTAGCTTTCCACCTTGGCGACACTGGTCGAAATTCTTGAGAATAGCAGCATGCCAGACTCAACGATTTTCTAATAAGTTTCATACTATTGTTACTTACAATGAAGTGGGGGTATTTCTGTTTTATTTTGGCATCTTTCTTGAGTGTTTGCAAATGACGTTGAAGTGCACTTTTTTCCCTATTCACTGCGTCTGTAAGGATCTTCTTGCTGGGTTTGTTCTTCACACTTTCTACACAACAGATATCAGCTACCCAAAAAATAAAACAGACTGAAAACATCTCCACTCTATATACATCACTTTTTTGCTCGTGAATATGTGGAAAGTTATATCTGAGCTGTGGCATAGGGGCCTACGTGACATTCTTTAGGTGATCCATGTCGAGGGTGAACAAAACCGATTCTATGGCTTGACCTGAGTGTGAATTTGTAAAGGTTTCGCACACAATGGCTGTTAATGGGGCATAACGGCTTGAAATCCACGAAAATGTTTTGGATTGTTTACTTATCCTGTTTAAAAGGTCTGGATGAAAATGAAAATAACCTAATGTCTTACCATTAATGATGTGCATCGGGTCGGGTTGACCAGGCCAAACGGACCCGAAACATTAAAAATGTAAACCGAATCCGAACCGAAACCGATCTTAACTCCCTCAACCGACCCGACCCGACCCGACGGGAAAAAACCCCGAATACCTTGCTTGGACAAAGTGATCACTTTTTTGTGCCTGCCCTTACCAACGTGGCATGAATTCTTTTGCAAAACCATCGTCTCTCTCTCTCTGTCATACTCAGTTGGTTGATCGAGAGTAACTCCACTTATTGAACAAACGCATGGTATCATCACGCGGTATCATGAAAACTGTTACAATGTATCTCTTTTACTGTCAGTCCCGATCCGACTGGAGAAATTAATACCATGGGAACTTGATAGTGTGCTCGGTGGCCACACCACGCAATGGGCTGCGGTCACAGTGACTGTCAATAATATTGCATCACCTAAATTTCTCAACTGTTTCGGAATCTTTCGGTTTATTTCGGTTTATTTCGGATTTTTCAAAAGATGGCTAAACCGACCAGACCCGACCCGAAAATGAAAATGCAAAACCGAAACCGACCCGACCCGACTAAAAAGATGGACAACCGAGGTCGGTTTCGGGTCGTTTCGGTTTCGGATCGAGTTTGCCCATCATTAATACCATTCCCGAGAACGGACATAAAAACTGTTGGAAATGTTTTTCGCATGCCTTTACGTATTTTCAGCCGTATCCATTCAATGTACGGTACACGATGTACATGTACATGTTTCCTTATGGGGTAGAAAACACAATATAACAATGAATCCCATAGAAAACACAACAGAACAATAAACCCCACAAGAAAGTCTTTAGCAATCAATTTGTCCCATAAGAGAAATATTATGGAGTTTGAGATGACCTGTCACATTATGACAATGACTTCCTTCGTGAATCTGATTGGTTAACATAATTATTGCATCCAGTGAAATCGGATCCTCTGAAATCGGATGCGAAAAGGTCGAATGTTTGATTTCATCCGGTCACCCGGTATACGGTCAGATCGGTCCGAATTTTCAGCACACAACTCTGTACGATGGTCCGATGATCTGGTGAACCTTTAGAATCGGAAAAGTGTGCATTGGCTTAAATGTTGTCACCGGCCACTGCCCTTAGACAAGACGATGGGGACGAGTGATATATTTCGTACGTTCTAACCGGCTTGTTGTTATTATGTTGGTCATACAATAAATGTGGGGTCCATTTCTTTCCTGTCCCATTTTACATCTGAGATCTATGATTGTGTATATGAAAATATACGAAATATATGAATTGCAAACTACCTACCCCCCCCAAAAAAAATGCAATCATTTTTAAATGGCAAATTAGAAAAATACCAAGAAAAACAGGGACAGGAAATTTATGGAAAGATTCATGTTGAGTCAATTATAGGTAGAGTACATCAATTGTCTTTGTCTATGTGCATTTTTTTAACGTTTGAAGCGACAAAAGTACTCAAAATCTTAAGAAGGGTGCTTAACAACTAACTTGATGAAGTTCTAGCTGAGTGAATGCTGTATATTCTGAGACAGGCGCGGTTCTACGGGGGGGGGGGGGCTAGGGGGGCTGTAGCCCCCCCCCCCAAATATTGTCTAGCCTCCCCCCCCCCAAAAAAAAATAAATTCCGTAAAAAAAATGGAATAGCAAAAAGAATGATTGTGATGTACATGCGAACGGTCTCCCCCTAAAGAAATAGTCGTGACAAGGGTGCATAAGTTAATATATAGTGTGAATGTTTTTAGGATTTTATTGGCGCTCCCCATTGAAAAAATGGCATAAGCCCCCCCCCCCCCTCTTCCCTCTCCCCCCCCCCCCCCCCCCCCCCCCCCCCCCATCTATTGATTTTCGGAAGCCTAAGTGTCTGGAGAAAATAACCGGTCTACATTTCAGTACGCCTCCCTGAAAAAAATTCTGGATCCACCGTGCTAGCCCCCCCCCCCAAAAAAAAAAAAAATATTGGTTCTAGAACCGCGCCGGTTCTGAGACAAACAATATACTTTGATCTCGATCTCAATTCAAAAGTTGCCGATTCATGTTTTGAATTGCGCCCGAAATCGGTTACTTCTCGATAGTCCGAAGTACCATGGGTAGGAAGTCCCATTGGTCCAAAGTCCCATTGGACCAAACCCTAACCCTAATCCTAAGGGGCGTTGGACCAATGGGACTTTGACCAATTGGATTTCAGACCAATGGGACGTATGACCAATGGGACGTTTATACCAAAGGAACGTATAGCAATGGGCCGTCGGACCAATGGGACTACGGACCTATGGGACTTCGGACCAATGGGACTTCGGACCAATGGGACGTCGGACCAATGGGACTTCGGACCAATGGGCCGTCGGACCAATGTGACTTCGGATCAATGGGACGTTGGACCAATGGGACGTCGGACCAATGGGACTTCGGACCAATGGGACTTCGGACCAATGATACTTAGAACTGTAGAGACGCCCCCCCCCCCGAAATCAGCGTCCGAGACACGTTCTCAGTTCACCGTTTATATCACACATTGAACTGACGAATAATATCAACCGCGCGCGCGTGTGCGTCGTCTCAACGCGTGCGCGCACTCATTTACGGCTTCGCCGAATTACGAATGAATTACTGACGGAAATTTCCAAAAATGCGTCTTTTGAAGCATCTTTGGAAAAGGCCTTCAGGTTTTTTTTTTATTCAACATGAAAGCATGCCAGAAAGAATAATTTTCACAGGGAGTTTACCATATTATCATCTTTAAACCAAATATGCTTTTCAACAATAATTTCGTAAGTTACTTTTTGGATAGCTGCAAATGATGTATTCCACCTTTAGTCGTTGTGTGTTCTGGTACACGATTCGGGTCATTTCTAACTTAAGATTGCACATTTCAGAGTATTGTTTTTTTAACGGGAAATAGCAATATCCTAGCCAGATATTCAGCAAAATAACCGATAATGCATATGTATTTGATTGGATGTTTGATTTTTCTTTCATTTTGGAGCTGCTGTTATTTGATTTTTCGCTGCCACCTTCGACGGATGCATTGACAGAAGAAGCATTTGACTATCTCGCTTTTCCAACAGGAACATGTAAGTCTTAACTTCTTTTCTCCGACTTTTCACCAGTTTTAGTTGTTCATTCAAGTCTATAATGTTACGTTCCCTGCTATTGTTGTGTCGAAGTTGATATTTAGCCCGTTCCATTCGTATTTGATCAACCGAAAATTTACGAAAATGTAGCTACAAATCATCAAATAAACCACACAGGTAGACGGAAGACACCCAATAACAATGATTATATTAAATAACGATTAAATACTAATAACTAAATAACTATGAAGAAATTGAATAGATCAGGTTTAAAACTACTCTTGGAAATATGGTCTATGATATGCAATCGGACTCGGTGTTTAATGTAACCCGTTTCGGTAACCCATTGTTGTATTACAAAAGCATGGCAGCCAAATTCACCAATAGAGTATGAAAGTTGACCCCTGGTGGCGCGCTTCCGGGCCCCTCAAATAGGACGATTTTAGCGTGTAAAAGTCGGAGTTTTTAAAGTATTTTGGGTACATTGATTTCTTTAGAAAATCACCCTTGGAAAAGGCCATTGTAAAATTGCTACTAGCATCTCAATTTATGAAAACTGAAAAATCGCATGACTTAAAAGAGACATATCGTGCCAAAACTTGACCGCTCACTTCCGAAAATCTGACATAAATGTGGACTAGTGGAACTCAAAGCACTCGTACAAATTATGAACATTACTTAAATAATTTTATGACGGTCATTGGGGAAAAGCTGAAACTTAAGAGGAGACTAAAATATCTTTGGGAATTTTGTTAATAATTTTGTGCATAAACGAGAAGAACTCATTCTCATTTACCAACAAATTAAACCTTTGCACTAAATCCGGATGTGAAAGGTTGTAAGTAAAATTCGTTTTTACTCATCTCCAACTAATTTCTCATCAATTTTTGTTGTTGGAATGCCAAGATAAAACTCCAACATGAGTTTTTTTTTTCTTGGGGTGAAAACGGTTAGACGTCATTCTGTCAGAAATTATAGCAAGAAGAAGGGAAACCCCTTGTAAAATGCACACAGCGTATAGCTACGGGGGCGGGGGATGCGGATCGCGGATGAGGGGTCCGGAACCTCAAAGACAAAATGGCGAACTTTCAGGCTCTATCAACAGCTATGTCCTGATCAAAATGATATCACAATTTCTAAACTCGACTCCGATTGGCTGGCACGCAGGGTCGCATAAATTTTGCATAAATTGCTCACAATACAATCAGATGTTGGTTACGGAAGACGCTCTGTAAGACAACGAAGGCCGATTTCAAAGGGTTACTTAGGCCTAATACTTTATTTTGAATGAAACAACATGCACACAGACATGTTGCTGTTCGCAGTCGAAGAAAATTATTTTCTCCCGTTTAGAAGACCGTATCTTCATGCAACTTTTAGGGTTTATTTCCCTTATAATGATCCAAGTATGTGCTAAAAATCGTTGTGATATGTCCATTACTTTTTGTTGAAATTGGCAAAGTAGGGCCGTCTAAGTGCATTTTTAAAAGTTGTAACACTGGTGTTTGTATGATCTGTCAATCTTTTCAAGTCTCACGAATATTAATAACGTTCCTATACATTATGTCGTGCTGTAAAACATTGAGAAAAGCCTCCTTCACGAGTTATTAATTGATAAATATCACCATATTTGCTGGCTTCCATTGATCAAAACCGAGACCCACGCCAAGTCACTCCGGGTGACGCTTTTGAATACGCTAATATGCACTTCGGCATTGTGTTGCCGGGCCAAAATTGGTCGACCGTAGCGCCTACGGAGTTATAGCCTTTGCTGAAAGCCATCCACGTAGGTTCGGGTAGGAAAAAAATCCTCGTCAAAATTTTCCTTGGAGATTGCTCAAGGTGTAACAATAGCGTTAGCAGCAACAGATTAAGCTAAATTTTTGGAATATACTTAGATGGTATAAGTGTCCTTCTACTTGTGTCATTTAGTCATTTTGGGACGTTTTCAAAACGAATTCCTCCCGACTTGGAGGTCAACTTTACCGGTAACCAGTATTGACGTTTCGGCATCGATGACGGCGATTGTTTTTTTTTTATTTAGTTTAGAATTTCTTCTTTCGTTATAATTTAATATTTCAGTCATACTAGCAAGATGTTCTGAGAAACATAACGTTCAAAAGGCCATGTTTTTGGGGTGCATGAATTTCACTGCTCTGTTATAGCGTCTAAGTACAAAATCGGATTAACTTTGCTATCAACGCTTGGCCTTCGCAACCATTTTGCTGTTTTAAAGGGTTTTTTTCGGTTACCTTACCACTCGTATTATGAACATTTCATCGAAATTTCCATTTCGTATTGACACAAATATATTACTATCATATTTGGTGCAGCGTACTTCTCAAATGTAGCATTCTTATTCATCAAAATTTTGAGAAATTGTGATTTTGATAATTGAAAAGGCTACATGTATTTCCTTTCATTTATTTTTGCGCTTATGGTAATTGATTTGGTAATTGATAGTCCTACCGGAAATGAAAACAAACGTTTTCTTTAGTCAATCCATGACTTTTACAAAAATCACCTGAAGAGTTCTGACGCTGCTTTAAAACTCTCAGTTAATTCCATGACTGTAACGGGGAAAACATGAACTTTGTATTACACAACTGCAGTTGAACAAAGCTTTATAAACGTATACAATGCTTGATTTTTGTTTATTCCAGGCGGAGTCGAGCTCTTCTTTCGTAACCCACACCTTTATCTGTCACCAGAACTTTTACCTACAATTAAGAACATCACGACAAACTTCTTTCCAAAGTTTTGTACGCAACACTACGTTAACTCGAACCAGACATCACCCCTATGGCGCTTCGACGTTATAACAACAGGTAATCTTACTTTTTCACCCTCATTCCATTTGGATTCCTTTAGCACTATGTTTAGAGGCCCGTTTTTGTCGTACAGGGTGATCCAGTCAATAAAAGTGGAACCTAAACCCAAAGAAATATACTTGATTTTAAACAGTATCTAGCACCAAAAATAATTATGACTTGTAATAAGCCAATTTTAATTTAATAAACTACTTTTAGACGAACAAATAACTTCAGTTGCTCAATCCGTTCAATTTATGTCATTTCTAAATGAATAAACGACATAAAATAAATGAAATCACCTAAATTCCGTTTCGTTACTTTCGTCCACAAATGCGATTTCCAGATTTGTTGTTCAATTGTCTTGAAGTATCACCAGCGATAAAACCTCATTTTAAAAGTCAGCGATGTTAAAAGTACAAAATACTCAACAAAGTATTTTTGAAGGCCTCTCTTTAAAACAAAAACTGGATTTTATAAATCCTATCGTTGGCCAGAGCAAGGTGGTTAATAAACATATTGTGTACCACAACGGATGAAAAGTATTCTGTGTCATTTGTTTTGTTCCCAAACAGTCAGAACATCCAATAAATTGCTTTGTTGGACGAAACTGATTTTAGGGTCATTTTGTTTAAATGGCAATATAATTTGAACAGATTGAACAATTTAAGTAATTTGTTCATCTAAAAGTAGTTTATTAAATTAGCTTACCAGTCATAGTTAATTTTGGTGCTATATATTTGTTTACAGACGGAATACATTTCTTTGGGTTTGGAATCCGGGTTTTTTTTTTATAACTCACCCTGTATATGACCCGAACGAAATTAGTTCCCTTTCCATTGGAGATAGGAACTTTAGTAACAAAGCAACTCTCAAAAAAAACCCGAATGCAGAATAAACAGTCAAGCCCAGAACTTGCCTTTTTAAACTCAAATACAGGAATACATACATTTGACTCACGTGTAGGCTTATACTGGGCATGATAATGTAAATGTGAGCCTACAATCCTGGCCAAATCTCACTGGGCCCCCAACCCCCCAGCCCCCGCTTAATGTTGTCTCTCATTGCGCGGTGTGTGCTCCATCTGCTGAAGAGAACAACATTGACCGGAGGAGCGGGGGAGTTGGTGACCGTTGGAGGCTAAGATTATTTCCATGTGTCCCAACCATTTTGGCCGGGATTGTAGTCTAACACGCACAGAGTAGCTCCCAACCATAGTTGTGCTGGCCCAACTGTAACACTTTAGTTGGGATGGTTTCGACTTTAGTTGGTACAATCCTGGCTAAATAGCAAATTGGAACCAGCGGTATATTTGAGACGTAAGAGCACCATATCAGACGCAATTTGCGCGTTTTTATCAGCAGATTGATGGCCTTGTATTGACAGTTTTTTTATTCAAGATTTGCAGTATTCAAAATGACTTATTTTGCTTTGATGAAATCCAGGTACTCAAATCTTTGGTGTGCCATCAAGACCACTAGTACCGGATGAAGAGCTAAGCCGTGTCCCCGACAGTTGGCTGACGAGTGGTGGCATTCTCATCCGAATTACGACCGACTCCTTAGCTGCCGCGGGAAAGCTTATAATACGCTGCAACGCACCATATCTGTTCCCGGTTCCTGATTCGATCTACAATGTAAACTTCACTTTTGAAATCAATGGTACGAAAATGCTTGGTTGAAGAGAGTCACTGTGAACATTAGTATCTAAAAGTGTACGGATCGGTGTATGAACTGTACTTGCATGCAAAGTTTAAGCCCCGATTTGATGGTCACGCACTATGCGCGCGTACTTGTTAATGGCAAATTAATGCTTATTCTGAATGTGTACAAACACCTAGCATCTTCGCTTGAGCGGTCGTGCTAGTACAGCTGATCTGGTACACGGTGCCCTCTGGAGACATGTGCACGATAGGGAACAAAAGATTGTATACGTCACAGAGCAGCCTTGTCTCCACAAGGTTATCACAAAATAGGTAAATGAATTTTAATCAAAACCTAGGAATTTCCAAGGTGTGTTGATGTGTCGCAAATTGAAGTATTTTATGTAAGGGATATTAAGTCCGAATTTTAGTCCAGGGAATTATTTCTGGTTAAAATAGGAGCATTTTGAAAATACACTTTCAAACTCGAAAACTGAAGTACACGAGAACAAAGAAATGACTCCACAAGGATACCAATTTCAGTATGTGTGATCCTAGTAAGCCAGAATGTCAAAGGAGTTTTGTCAGCCCACTTATTACTGGGTCTACTCTAAGAATTTCCCACAGATTTTTTCATTTAAATACAGGAAATTCAGACTAATAAGGATGATGTTGAATTCATTATTTTTTTATTCCTGGCTGTTATCCAACATTCAATATACAGGTTGTCCATCAGGGAAATATGACAGCCGTTGCGAGAAACTTTGCAATTGTGCAGAGGGAGTGGAATGTCACAGCTTCAATGGGATATGCATGTGTCCACGAGGACTGCGTCGCATTCGGTGTGACCAAAGTAAGCATGACAATGGACCGATCCAGTAAGCACCGCCCCATAGTGTTCAGACCAATCACAGCCGTGATTTAGGTCCGACGTGCGTGCACAAAAGTACGACATGCGTGCACGCGCGTATGGTGCGCACGGCAGGAAAATGTAGTTTGGCAGTGGAGAGGAGCACGTGTTAATTTGCCCACGTGCGCAGTGGGAGGGGTTTACTGGATCGGTCCAATACAGAAGGATGCCCGAAGCCACTCGGTGGCCAGCAAACCCATATTCTTTAAGAACACAAAATAAACCTGGTCTATGCAGGCTGGGGGCTTTACCACTTTTCAGGCACTAGAATTTTTGACGTCACTGTAAGATTGTTGCGCTGCGAATGCTCCGTGGCCTAAAGTGTGCTTTTAGGATGTGTATTTACCTGAAGTATCAACCGGTCTTTAAAATGTGTTATCCACCATATTTCCTTTGCCATTAGGAGATCCAGAGCTCGCGACCAATCTCACCCAGGGGTTCATTTCCTATGGCGAGTCATCCAACCTGACATGTACAACCTATGGAATGTCACCATCTAATTGGTCTTGGACCAAGGAAGGGCAAACAACACCCTTGGAGACAGTCACGTGGGAGAAATTAGTCCCATATTCACCAAGGTATATCATCTCATTTAGTCAAAGTAGCATCTTTGTAAAGAAATGCTGGTTACTCGTAGGTCTCGAAGTGTGGTCACTTTGAGTTATTTATCTTATTTGTCTGGACCCGCATTCATAAAACTCACCTGGTCTTCACGCATCATAGAATTTAAGGTCATAATACACCCATTGAGTGATTTAAATAATATTTATCAGACAAAGATTTCGATTATGATGGCTGAATTAAAAGAAATTGCATGAATGCAAGCAATACGTGTCAGGAAATGGACAGACCATTAATGAAGCCCCGCCCCAACACGTTTTGACAAAAGTCCAATATGCATTTATTCGCGTGCATTATGACACATGTGTATGAAACATGCAGAGTGGCATTGGAGAGGCACGCAAGTCATTATGCTGATTGTGTGTGTAGTGGGAGGGGCTTCAGGGTTTGTTCTATTGATCCTGAGATCATTCAGTTGGAGAGTACTTTCATAAAAGGGTATTTCTTTTGTCCTTTTTCTTTTTGAATAATTTAAACAGGCCAACCATGTTAGTTACCACCATATATGCAGAAAGTACATCTGCCAATGGCGGCTATGTGTGTGAGGTTCGTGATGAAAATGGCACCATTTATAGACAGCTCGTCAATGTCACTGTCATAGGTAAATTCCTTCAATGGTTTTCGTTAACGTAATTGTAGCAGCCATGGATTAAGGTGAGGGAGCACAACAGTTACAATTTTTGGAATAATGTAACATTAGAGTAATGGGGATGTTTTTACATGTTCCACAATTGTAGACCCTCTTCATTGTTCCTAATGGAATCTCAAACTCAATGGCTTTTCACTTTTGCGCCGTCGCATTAATCCTGTAGTTACTCTTGGTTGTTCTACCCCATAATAATATGTAAGTAAACTTAATTTTGCTGCTTTTAGGCAATGATATTTTCTGAGATTGCTGAACTGTACACAACTTACAATCTCATAATTATCTCTTATCACGTAAAAATAAAGAACTGGGAATCTACATGTATAAGTTTACATGTAGCAGATTCCAATTTCAATGCCAACTTTTGAAAATACTTAAATTTACGATCGGGTTCTTGGGGTTTTTTGGGGGGGATATTTTTTGGTTAAGTTTTTTACCTAAAATTGTGCACATCGGCACATCCACATTATCAGCCATGCAGCATTTCCTTGGATCGGCTCATTTCCTTGTTTCGTTTTCAATTCCTTGTTGGTCATTTATAATTGAAAAAGAAAACACTGTTTAAAGAATTGTATAAGCATGGAAGTGATCCTCTTTTTGTGATTTTGCCAATTGCATGCCTGCATACTTTGCTTCAACCAATTGCCTTGAAGAGACCACTTGTCATCTTCGCAGTCGACTTCCTAAAAGGTGTTAACCTTCAATTAATCAATTGTCCTTTGTTGTCTTTCAGAACCACACACAAATGCACTCAAAAGTCTCATAAGCAAAAACTATCACTATTCATATAAAGAGTTAAAACATACAGGTAATGGACACCATTGTTTTTGCTGTTTTGAGGAACAACATTACAATACAGATTACTAAAAAAACCAAAATATTCTGTACAAATTTCAGCTCAGATCGATAGTCTTAACAAAAAGTGTAGAAATGCACCGTCATTTTTCTCATTGCAAAGCATAGGTTTCCGTTGAAAGCGCGACGGTTTGGTCCTACTAGCCATACAGATGAAATGCTGGTAATTCCCTGTTTCTTGAAAATGACAGCATAACAGGCGCAGCGATTTCGCCGGATCTTCGATCCATTATAATAACAAAAAAAAACAAACAGAAGTTAACTTTCCCATCTAAATGCCCTGTACCGTAAAGACTAACACTCAACCAAAAAAGAAAGTCCCTCCTTCCAATACGATTTTGTCTAACTAAAAAAACTACTGAGCACCTCTCGCTCAAATAACGACTAATCAGAACAGAAATTACTTAGCAATCAAGCCATACTCTTTATTTGGCCCAAAACAGTGATAAATGTGTACGAATTTATGCAATTTATGACAAATGATACCAAAAATAGTTACACTTTTGTATGCGTGCAAGTTGTTGTTCACACTCACCTTGCACGTATACAAAAGTGCGGCTTTTTTGGTACCATTTGTCATAAATTGCATAGGTTTGTACACGTTATCCCTGTTTTGGGCCAAACATAGCAGTATGGCTGGATTGCTAAGGAATTTCTGTGCTGATCAGTCATAATTTGAGCAAGATGTGCCCAGTAGGTTTTGAGTTACACACAAAAAGTATGAAGGGGGAGTTTCCTTTTTTGGTTGAGTGTAGCTTTGTATTGAGAATTACTCAAATTGAAAACTAATGTATCGTTTAATTTGAGATTAATCAAAGCATGCCTTCTCCCCTCAGCCATTCCTGATCCATTCATCCAAGTGCCTGAAAATTGCACCACCCTTGCAGGCAAGAACGTCACATTCACCTGCCAAACTAAAGCAGATGCTGGAAGAATCAAATGGGTCAAAGGTCGCAACCAGACACGTTGTACGGGTGCAGAGATCAAGGACAAACCAGGTCGATATGAGATATTGAGTTCGACCGGGGGCGTGTGCCAGCTCTGTATCTATGGGGTGGAGTTTGCAGATGAGGATGTGTACAGTTGCTGTGTTGGACACGCAGCAGCAGCACAGGATCTGAGCTACGTTGAGGCACTACTTGTTGTTCAATGTAGGGGACAAGTTATTGGACTCTTTTAAAGTACAAAATGAATACATTGATTTAAAGCAACTTTCTAGATTAATTTAAAGCAATTTGCTTTACGTTCAAGCTACATTGGCTTGCTGCTACTAGTGAGTGCCATTTAATTGAGCCGCGTTATCCGTAAGTCAATAGAAATGACATTGATAATGTTTCCGAAATGTTTCCCGTAAGTCCTTTGAAGCTTTGTGACAAAATTTCAAATTCCCCTACTCCCATTCCTCAATTTTTGTTATTTTCATTTATTGTACTTGTACTTAAATGTAAGTGTTATGGATGAAGAGTACATTACCTATTCGTTCATATGTCTATCGCATGATAATTCACAAGCCTAGTCACAAGAAACAGAGGATGAGCAATAAGTGTGTGTGCTGATTTATAGACTGAATGACTTATTAACCTGTGATATCTTGCGATCGATCTCAAGTTCCTCAACTACAACACTTTGTGGACATGATATATGCTTGCGTCCTTGCATTTGTCACCAGCTGCCCCGAGGGCTGACTGCTCATTTCAAGACATCATTGATGTCCGTTCTGGTCACCTCCTGACCCTTTGGTGCATCTTGGAGTCCGCCAAGCCGGTCCCAACACTCACCTGGACGGTAGAAGGCAGACAGAAAGCCCTACAGCCAGTGAGTAATACCAGACTGTCTGGCGACGATAGCCCCTCTAACGTCAACTCCTCTGTGACCTTTGAACCTGCCCCGGAGGATGATGGGAAGCGAATCTCTGTCACGGTGGTGAGCCCGGTAGTAACTGGAAATCAAGAAGTGGTGGCATTTCTGAACGTCACATGTGAGAGAATTCATCTTTTTTTAATCGTTGTCATCAAATCCCCAATCTCCACATAATTTCAATCACAAGTCCATCACGTACAGGTTCATCACAAATCCATCTCAAGTCCAGCACAAGTCCGCACAAGTCCATTACCGGTCCATCACAAGCTCTATCCCAAACTCCATCAGAAGTCGGTCACAAGTAAAACACAATCAATTCACACGTCTGGACACAGGGAACAAACAATAATAACGGAATACCTTCACAGTTCATTTGAAAAGCATGTGACCCTACTTGATGACTTGTGATAGGCTTGTGAGAAATTGTGATGAACGCAACTATAGCACTACTTCTACTCACTAATCCCAAACTGTTTTGGTGCCTTTTTCCCATAGGAGTTATTACATAATTAAGGTAAATGATATTGGCACGACAGCAGGATCATCCACCTTGAAAGACGTGTCATTGCGCATGCATCATCTGAACATTATTTTTTTCGAGAGCAAGACACTTCACCATCTCTGAACAGCAACAATCAAAGAACAATCTGTAGTTTTATGAATTGCCTATAATGCATACAGCCTTTAAGTGCAATCACTTTGATTTCAATATTAAATAAAGTGAATGTGTACACATTATAAACTCATCTTCAGAAATCTCGCATTCCAGATTAGAAAAAGACACGAATTGAATATATTGCTTTGCCCGAGGGCACGAGCACCATGACTCGAAGATGGATTTGAAACCATGTTTATGAAGACTCATGAATCACAAGAACAAACATCTGATAACACATAATCAAGAATGATCAACTTTCATGTTGTCGTTAAACTTATATTCCCAGATGCTCCCATTGTGACCATCAGTCCTGATCCACTCACACTGACCACAAGCCAAGATGCTATGGTCAAATGCGACGCCAAGTCCAACCCCAAGCCCACCACTTACACCTGGACACTCAGAAAGAAGAACAAATTGATCTCCAACTCTCCCTCGAGCAATGGGCCCACGTATCACTTCAAAACCGTCCGCAAAAAGTACGACAATGCCAGCTTGACTTGTGTGGTCAGAAACAGCATCGGTGAAACTGAAATGTCAGTGCTGATCAAAGTGGTTGGTGAGTAAATTTGTTAAAATAAGTGCGGTGTCGTCATTGTGATGGAGTTGGTATTTGAGTTTCATAATCTTTTTAAACCGAAGTGAAGACTCTGTGCTTGGACATCTAGCTGTATGGTATATTCACAGTAATAATGGCAATCACGATGCATGCGCATGCACTTTTCTGTTTCCCAACCTACGAGTGATGGCTTTGAATATGAAAAAAAACACCAATATTTTCATATGAATGTGCACAATATCCACAGTGATTCTTGAGTGTTAAAGCTTAAAGCACATTAGAAACATTTCAGAGTCTGTCATTACATGGCATATCTCTCCTTGTTATTGATTTAATAAATAATTTGAAGAAAATACACCCTATTTCAGGTTTGGCCTTAGTTTGGTATGAAGATGTGACACTTGTGTTCAAACAAACAGAAATTAACCAAACGGCTTTGCAATGTCTGTCTGAGAACAGAACATTATGGCTTTGCCGCAGTATGATTTTTTTTACGAGTTTATGCTTTTTCCGACCATGTGATGTCATGTATAAATGATCGATTTCATGGACGAACAAAGTTTTGTGACAATATGACGTCTTTCTGTTTTGAAAGTGCAGTTTTTAACATTACAATGACATCAATATTTGCTGGATAAAGTGGATATAGTAGAAAATAAAAAAGGCTAAAAGAATATTTAAAATTTTGAAAATCATATGGTGTCATGATTACGTCATCTCGACATCACCAACATTTTTAACTAGAACACTTTTTCGGTCAATGTATATTCCGGTGCTAAGTTTCAACCCGATAAGACTTGTAGTTCCATAGATATAGGACTTGAGATAATTCACCTTTCAGATGATTGATGACGTCACTTGTCTAGGAATAACTTTACTTTTTGGTCTATTTCTTATTTGCCTTGTTTTTAATCTGATTGCAGTATGTCGAAGTTGCTTGTAGAAATAACACATATTTTAAAAGAAAATAAATGTATTAATAAAAAAAGCTCTTATTGACATCAACTTGACGCCGTTTCGGAGTTTGCATACTGGTACTATTCTCTACCTATCATCAAGTGTCCTTACAAATGGACCTACACTTATATACGTGTTTTTAAAAATCGAAATGTTTTGATGACGTCATCATGACCTAACAAACCTACAAAACAATTTTGAATTTAGCATGCTCTATTGATGCGATATGGCCTGAAGGTTCAAAATTTAAAAGCCATAAAAACATATTACTTCATCGCGACATCACCTCAATTTTCATCTATAAAACGTCCATGTCAATGTTTGTAGTTTGTTTCAACCCAGGTGGACATGTAGTTCTCTGGATAAACGCCCTTGAAAATGCACCTTCAAGATGATCTCACATGACCCATGATGACGTCATCATGACGTCACGTCTTGCGGACCATCTTTGTACCAAAGTCTTTCCTTTTACATTAGGTATGATTGAGATATACATGTAAGATTTAAAAGTGACAAAAGTGATCTCGTGTACAAAATCTCTAGGATTTGCGATAAAACAAAAACAAATAGAAAGAAAAATGTACAAAAACAAAGCCTTTTACCCAACTATGCGGCGAAGCCAAAAATCAGTTTACAACTTTTCCCATAATGTTCGTTGGAACTCATCTTTTTTTAATGGGAAGTTGTATTTACGTGTTCTTCATTCTATTTCTATTACCAGAGAATCAGGGATACCTCCGCACCTATAATTTACAAAGCTTGAGAAGCTCCTTAGTACTTCGTGTACACTTATACACTTACTTTTGTTTAATATTTTGATACAAAAGGGTCATTTTTCCCATGTCTTAGATCATATGTGAAACGTGCACACGGCACAGTCGCTAGCGTTTGTAAGGTGTTGGAAAAATGTTTAAACGGTCCTTGAAAGTTTTGCCAAACGTTCACCAAATAAGATGTGAATTGCCTCACTTCTTAAAAAATGGGTTATGCGTCTTCTTTCTCATATAGCTCTTTATCGCCTTTTTAGTGTACTGTACGCAGTGCCTTTGACAACAATTCCTGCATAAAATGGATAATAAAGTTACACATTTTCAAGCTAATTGTTGACTAAAGAAATTGTCAGGTGTACGAAAATGTAGATAATTGTCACAACTTTTGTGAGCAGTTGGATCATAGTTTTCAGCATGCATGGTCGTCATTTTTTTATGTCCAGAGTTAACATTTGCTTTACATTCAAATATCATTTAATTAACTAATTGTTGATTTGTTCTGGGTTTATTTAAATCCCACAGAGACAAGATTTTCTCCTGGAGCCATCGCTGGTTTTTCTGTTGCTGGAGGTTTGTTTCTAGCTGTGCTTGTACTTGCAAGCTGTGTTGCTCATCGCTACCGCAAAGACATAAAGCTGTGGAGAGCTAAAAGGGCTGGCAAAGACAAAGGTAAATTTAAAGAACAAGTAAAACCCAATTCCTTCTTCACACATACAAAGTCCAAGCAGTGTACAAGCATTACATTCACTGTGTGGACTTCCGAACAAAGGATGTCCACATAAACCAGGTAGCAGCGACGTTGTGTGGACTTTCCCACGTCCACACAGTGTTTCCCCCTCTCTGGAAAACAGGTTTAGAGGCATTTTGGGGTTAGGTTTATCCGTGGCAAAATAAAGAGGAACACTAAAGGGAATCAGAGAAAAAAATTGGAGTAAAATTAATTTTTGACAGGTTTTTTTTTAAACAACATTTGCGCAAAAGAATGTCCGGACTAGGTATGTAACGTAAACATGTGTGCTGATGTTGTGTCGCATAACGGCAACATTTGCAAGAGTTGAAAACACTGCAACCCTTTTTGCCGCGCGGCAATTTTGCTGCAAATATTTTGTGACATCATATGCCATGCAGCCTCATACAATTATCCACCTTTGCAGCAAATAGGAACTGATCACATAGAGGCTGTGACTATATACTGAATTATAAACCGTTTTAAAACAAAACTAAAGTTAACTACTAAAAACCTTACAAATGTTGTATGAGAACCTATGGTCAAATTAGGACGATCCCTATTTACTGAGATTTCTAAGCTTCTCTACAAATCAGACTTGACATCCCTGTAATAATTGTGTGCAATTTTTAAAAAGGACGAAAATCTATTTAATTCACGCAAACTGCCTTCAACTTTCATTTTTAAAAAAGAATCATGCAAAGATATAAATTAATATAAAACGGATATAAACTGCTCGCCTTAAACTGAAAGGTACAAAATTGCTTCACTGTCAAATTATTGTAATATCACCCAGTTGATGAAAAGGAATATGACGTGTTCATCTCCTACAAGAGTGGTAGTCCTGATGAGGAGTTTGTGATACACCACTTGATACCCCGTTTAGAGCAAGATGGATACCGTATCTGTGTTCACTACAAATCCTTCCTGCCAGGCAAAAGTGAGTATTAAACCCCGAAATCCATGTGTCTACAGTGGGTAGTACAATCGTACATGCATGTATTGGTTCCGATCATAATTATAACGTCAAAGCACTACGTGACCATCCGGGTTTCCCCGTGATCACTAAGGGCGAATTCTTGATCAAAATGGTGTAACGGTCACTACCTGTGCCAGCTGTTGTCATGATCGTGCCAAGCCAACGCTTGGTGTTTGCTCGCATTTTTCTCACAGTTTTTGCCACATATCACATACTTGTCACGGGATGTACACTACCTGGATGTAGGCCAGTTCGTGAGAACCTAATGGCATGATGTTTATATTGCAAGAAAAGCAACATGGATACTTTGACGTATTAAGAGCTTATTGCGTCTGTTTTGAAAGATCTTAACCTGAACTATGTGGTCCAACCTGAAAAACCTTAAAACTTTTGATGTGTCTCTCAGAAGAGGACATCTGAAAGCCCAAAGTAAAACGTGGTTAAGGGCATTGGATTCGTGGTCTGCCGGTAAAGCTGCAGGCTGTGGGTTCGAGTCCAGCCTGCGGCTATGGTGCATGTGCCCTTGGGCAAGGCACTTTGTCACTCATTGCTTCTCTCCACCCAGAAGTAAATGGGTACCTGTGTTGTGCATAAATTGCGTAATTAAATTAGCTTCCTTGCGCCTAACAGGCAGCATCGAGCTGTGTACTCCCCAGTGAGTCGAGATGGTATTTAGAATGTTTCATGGGCCCAGTGAGCAGGGGTCATAATGATGTAGCGCATTGAGCACCAGTGCTTGTGGATACGTGCGCTTTATACCCATTATTATTATTATTATTATTGAATGTATATTTGGAAAATGTGGTGAAGAAACTCTCTGTCGTTGTATGAGAAGTTGTCAGAAGGTAAGTGTTAAAAGAATAGGAGAAAAAAAATGTTTTTTTATGAATTGCTGTGGGCAGGTATCATCGACAACATCTCGGATGCAGTCCATCGCAGCCGCAAGACACTCCTCCTGCTCTCTCCAGGTTTCATAGAGAGTGAGTGGTGTCGTTATGAGTTCAAGGCAGCCCTTTCCCAGATGTTACGTCTTCGCACCGACCTCATCCCTGTCATCTTTGAGGACCTGGGACCACAAGAGAACTTGTTCGAAGACTTGCAGACAATACTTCGGAGGCTGACCTGCATCATGTGGCCGAATGACCCCACGAGGGACCAGTACCAGACTGATGAGGACCGGCAACAGTTTTGGAAGCTCCTGGGGCAGGCTCTTCCAGACAACCCCCTGGATCGGGAAGGGCCGGGGCATGACCATCACCCGGAAAGGGAAGAACATGTTTGTGAAACTTCCCTTGGAATGAACCTCATCACATAAACGATGAAAGATCCGCCATTTTAGGACGTCTAGCGTGGCGTTCGATCGATATATCGTACAGCACTTTGGATGGAATTTCCCCCCCCCCCCCCAAATCATTTGTTTACCCCAACAAAATTAGAACAGAAAATGAAAGATGATGAAATAAGCTTAAATTTATTGTGTGTTTCAAACACCTTGGAGACTTTTGAGTATTTTTTCCTAAATTTCGGAAATGGGCAGATATATTCATCATGCACTGGTTATGGGGTACGTTGCTGTTTATTTACTAGTCTGCAACCGTAGACGTCCAATATAGCTCTTTATCTTGCTGGACAAAGAGAAATGGAACAAAGTTAAATGGAATGGAGGAGTGGTCTGATCAGACCGAGGAGGCAAAACTTCCAAAAAAAAATGTCAATGCTTTGCATTATACAGTCTTTTTTTAAGGGGAGGGGTATGGTGTAAGTAGCGTTATTGTGGTGAGGTACTGTAGAGGTGCTGGTGCATTTTGCAGGTTTTTTTTCACTTGCTTTGGTAAATAGCCCATGATTAAATACTTTGTTGTGTACTTATGATTGTGTTCACGTACAAATAGTTTAAATTGTAATGAATTTTTGTAAATTATGTATTCCTTTTGTATTTAGCCAGACTTTGCAACCTTCCTTATTTCATCTACTTTCCCAACTCTACATTGGGCCTCATGACTCTAAAAAATAGATCAGTGAGCAGATTCAGATTGTATATTTTATCCACACACAAACGTTTGGGGCCGTACTATTGAAGGACTCTTAAAATCCAGGGACCAATAGAAGGATTTTGGGCTGTTTCGGCACTTTTGCCGAAACAGCCTTTGTTTTCGTTAAGATTTTTTTTTTTTTCTTTTTTTTTTTTAGCTGTTTCGGTGTACACACCGAAACAGCTCTTGTTTTCGTTAAGATTTTTTTTCTGAGCTGTTTCGGTGTACACACCGAAACAGTTCTTGTTTTCGTTACGATTTTTTAGCTGTTTGTTTACACACCGAAACAGTTCTTGTTTTCGTTAAGATTTTTTTTTCTTTTTTTCTCCTTTTTCAGACTTTTTCTCCATAGGTTTTACACACGTTTCTTCTACCAGTCCACTTTGGCACTTTTTTTTAAATCCGATTGATTTCAGACTTAGAACATACTTAGAACACCACCCACAGATGGTCCTAGACGAAATTCGTGATTGTGACGTCATCAGGCGTCGGGTTACGTCACATTAAAGATGATTTTTCCCCATATGTTTTGTACACGTTTTAAAACACTCCAGTTTGGCATCTTCGTAAATCCGATCGACTTTAGACTTAATTCATACTTAGACCACCATCCACAGATGGCCCTAGACGAAATTCGTGATCGTGACGTCATCAGGTGTCAGGTTACGTCTCATTAAAGATGCATTTTTCACCATAGGGTTTGTACACGTTTTAAAACGCTCCATTTCGGCACTTTCGTAAATTCGATCGACTTTATACTTGGTACACACTTAGACCATTACCCATAGATGGTCCTAGAAGAAAGTCGTCATCATGACGTCATGAGGTGTCAGGTTACGTCACATTAAAGATGTATTGTTTCCCTATTGGTTTTGTACACGTTTTTCTTCAAACCATACACTTTTCCACTTCTACATGTCTGTAATTGACTTTACACTTGTCAGACACTAGTAAGACTAGCAGCCAAAGATGGTCTTCAGTGAGTTCGTGACGATGACTTCATCATGTGTCATGTGACGTGACATTAAATGTGCATTTCTTTGAATCGCTATAACTTCGGAAGTACATGTAGTCCGATTGGATTAAAACTTGGTATGCACATTCACAGGGATGTGTTATTGGTGAAAATTGAAGTGACGTCATCATCAAATGTCATGTGACGTCCCTTAAAGGGGCATCTTATTCTTTTATAGGCCTATATATTTCTACAGACGAATTACATGTATAATGTTCGATTTGGTTGTAACTTGACATGTACGTATTATAATGTGCTGTTATAGATGACATTTACAGTGACATCACTGATTGTTCATGTGACGTCCCTTAAAGGGGCATTTTATTCTTTTATAGGTCTATATATACAGAACTAAAATGTTCGATTTGGTTGTAACTTGACATGTACATATTATAATGTGCTGTTATAGATGAAATTTATAGTGACGTCACTGATTGTTCATCCCGTGCTCAGAGTATTTCAAATATCCGAAACAGCTTGTGTTAATCCACAAACACATTTCTAGTATTTTAATTGTTTTCTTGTGATGTGTTGTGTAAGTTTTATCAGGAACATTTTAACATATATATCATATTTAGTGTAATGTTATAGTATTATTGTAATTTTTTTAGCTGTTAAAACGAAAAGGTAAATCATGTGCACTTCAGCCCTTGGCTGTGATTCATGATGCTTTATTATAAACCAATTTGAAATGAAATGAAATGAAACAATGGGGATGCATACGTCTCCTACTGGTAATCATGGCAACAGAGGTAAATATACATGAGTTATATGGCTTAAAACTCACAAAGCAGAGTCTTGCAAATATGTCCAATTAGAAATTTCCCTTTGTGTCCGTTGGTGCAGAATAAATAAGGAGACCGGTTAATGAAAAGAAAATATTTACAGCATCGTCAAGCTCACTACTGCAATTACGGATTGGTTAAAAGAGAAAAGAATCGTTATTTCACCACTGGGAACCAGTCTGGTAACATCTGCAAATGATGTTGCCTAAACGTCTCATAGTTGGCTTGATAAGCCTTATGTCTTATGATCAGATGCACTGGTGGAAATGAGAGGTGTGGGGCCTCCATTAGAGGGGCGTGGCTTGGAGCCAGTGGGGTGACAAATGCTACAAGCAAATCAGCAAGAAACTACCATGGGCTGAGGCAAAACAGGAGTGCATCAAGATGGGAAGTGTCTTGGTCATGCCACAGTCTCAGGAGGAAACTGACTTCCTTCAGAAGAACCTGAAATGCCGGTTTTGGATCGACTGTGATGATCAGCAAGTTGAAGGTTTGTCAACTTATACTTCTTAAACATTGACTGACTTCCATTTAGAAATTGTTCACAGGAAACAATGTTGCTCTCCTTTTGGAAAGCAAAGTAATTTCATTATTAAAAGTTTCAAACGTCAAACATACATGATTCTTAAAGCTTCACAGTCAAATTCAAGCCCAATAAACCTGACATTATATTTTTCAATGTGTGTTAGGTTCATGGATGTGTCAAGATGGCACTACTGATGTGGAGTACAGAAACTGGAGGGAGGGTGAACCTAGTAATAGCCGGGGAAAGGAAGATTGTGCAGTAGTGAGTCCTGCTGGCGATTGGAATGATGTACCATGTGAGGGTCACGTTCCCACTATCTGCCAACGACCTGCACCACAACTGCACTTTTAAGTGACAACAAACAACCGACTTGTCATAAAAACATAACAATTCATTTTTCTTTTATTGTAAATTACATCCCTTAGAAAAGCAAGGCATCCTATAGACAGTACTGTGAATATGCAATTGAACAAAGTCATTTTGGACACTCGCAAACTTTGGGCAAACACTTTCAGAAAATGAATAACAATTTACGAATGTAATAATCAAACAATTGTTAACGCATGTGGTACTCTTCAGAGGATACTTAGTCCTAAGCATATATCTTTTCAATGTGTGCTATTTGGAAAATAGTTTCACTTTTTAGCTCTGCAATTTTTCACCGAGAACGAATATATGCAATTGAACCACTTGGACAATTACAAAATTCGGGCATACAATTTGAGATGATGAAAAACAATGTTTTAAAAAGATAATTATGTTGGTAGTCCTCACAGAATACATTTATGAATGTATCTTTTTTTTTTTATTTGTACTGGTGGAAAATATTTAAATTTTATGTTTATTTTATTTAGATACAGAACTTTTCAATTTTCGTTTCCTTTTGTAAGATAATCTCAATTGGAAATGTAACAATTTGATGGCATGAAATAAATGAAAATCTGATGCTGCAGTATTTAGTCAAGACTTAGTTATTTGTTATATCTTTGATTATCATATGGAGCACCTTTCTCAAATGTTTTTGTCTGATTCTTTTAATTTTACCTTCTCTCAGGTCTTTTTTTTCTCATTTTCATTTTAAATAACATCAGTTCTGTAACAGTGTTAACTTGGTAATATGAACCCAATGCATTAACTGTTATTGCTACTAAGGGAATAAATATGTGTCAGCCATTTTTAAACAAGTACGTTCAATACCAGCTAGGGAACTGGTCACCAGGTTGAACGTACTTGTTTAAAACCGGCCAAGCATATTTACTCCCATTTCATGAATACCTTTTGGTCAAAAATTCCAAAAAAGTCAAAAATTCACTAAATTCTAACGATCTTGTTCAACAATTTTCTTCATGTTTTGTGAAACACCCATCTGGCCATGTCGTTAGAATGTGCCTCTCGCGCGTGGTGCTAAAAACAGATACGTTAAAATTAATTTAGCATTTTGGCATTGAGAAGGGACAGCATATTTAATGTCATTGATTTATCAAAATAAAAGTAGGCCTAGGTTATCAGTATCGTGATGACGTTCTTCTGATATTACCAACCAAATATTATGCGAGATGCAAATATATTGACTTGCAATGTGCCACCTTACTAAGCTCTGACAAAGACTTCTGTCCTCCGTAGCCGTAGAAATCAACCGCATTCAATGTCTATCAATATAGTAATTTTTTTATTAATGGAGTTCTGCGGGAAGAACGCAGTTCGCTGCGCAGTTTATTGATTAATTAAACTAGAAAACTATGAAGCGTGAACTCCTTTTGTGTCCACTGGCGTGGCACTAATTATGTGAAGACTTAAGAATTCAAATTCAATGCCAGCACCTTGCATTGAAGCACTGCAGAACGAGGGCTGACAGAGAGTACGCTACATTTTACCACCAGGCACCAGTCTGTTAACATCTGCAAATGATATTACCTAAACGTCTCATCGTTGGCTTGATAAGCCTTTGTCTTATGATCAGATGCACTGGTGGTAATGAGAGGTGTGGGGCCTCCATTAGAGGGGCGTGTCCTCCTGCTTGGAGCCAGTGGGGTGACAAATGCTACAAGCAACTCAGCAAGGATCTACCATGGGCTGAGGCAAAACAGGAGTGCATCAATATGGGAAGTGTCTTGGTCATGCCACAGTCTCAGGAGGAAACTGACTTCCTTCAGAAGAACCTGGTCCCCTACTTTCGGATCAACTGTAATGATCTTCAAGTTGAAGGTTTGTCAACTTATATTGCTTTAACAATGAATAAATTATATTTTCCAAGATATTCATATGAAACGGTATGAAACCATTTCTCTCTCTTTCTGGAAAGGAAAGTCATTTCATTATTAACATTTCAAACTTCAAACAAACATGGTTCTCACGTCTTCAATTCCAACCAAATAAAACCAGACATTTGTATTCTCTCTGTGTGTCAGGTACATGGGTGTGTCAAGATGGCGCTACTGATGTGGAGTACAGAAACTGGAGGGTGGAGACTGGTGAACCTAATAATGACGGGAGAGGAGAAGATTGTGCAGCAGCAGACGAAACTGGTTGGAATGATGTACCATGTGAGAATCACGTTCCCACTATTTGCAAACGACCTGCACCACAACTGCACTTTTAAATGTCAACAAAAAGACTCACTCCTCACAAAAAGTAAAGATCACAAACCAACTTAATTAATTAAATAAAAACATTGAAGGAAATCATGTAGAAAGTGTTGTGAATAGGCAATTGAACTCTTTGAACCATCGTAGCTTTTGGACAAAAAAAAACCATGTGGAAAAAATAGTTTCGTTGATGGAAGTCCTTAAAAAATA